GTACGTGCATTAACTGTAAGTCAAACCTTGCGTTTCACAGGTCATCAAGCAGATCAAATAATCATTGCCGGATATGACACATTTACGGAAAACTGGCCATCTGCAGTGAATACCGGAAACGCCACTGGTTATTTCACTTTTGTTGGGGTCCAGGATTCAGAACCAGTTCTGTCGTACAAACTATTTGTTTATGCGGCTGCAGCTACGGTGCGTAGTAGCTTAATTAAGGCTATAACTGTCGCTGACAAGCGGATTCCGCTGCGACGGAATTTGCCGGTTGTATAAAATCCGTTTAACTTTTTTTTTGCGCTTTAATCATTAGATGGACAGATTTTGCTAGATAATCTGGATTCTCTACACGCTGTACCGGCAGCAAAACGGCTTAGAAAATGGCGCTGGAATTTTGTCTGGGTGCGGAAATTTCTCGTGTCTATTAGGTTTACTGGCATCGCAAAATTCCGTTTGAAAGTCGCTTGGTGACAGGTCAGAATTAAAGCAGAACACAATGGTATGGGTAAGCTGAGAAACTCCTGCTTTTAGAAAGGGGTTGATCATGATTGTCAACGGTTTAGCGAGGTATAAATATAGCAAAAGTGCTACAACGTCAAGCGGAGCCCGACAAGATAAAACCTGACAGCAAAATCCAGTAGAAGCTAACCCCAAACAAGCTCATAGCCACCAAAGCCTGGGCAGCCCACACACTTCGCATCCCCGTTCCTACAGGCGTCCGCGAAAGGAGGACAAGTATCGAAGCAAGTGACGGTCTGTTGCGCAGAGCCGGCCCTAACGCTCAGTGCGAGTAAGGTCAAGAAAAGCAGCTCGCACATGATGGACGCTGGACAGGGAAGGGGGACAATCACCGTTGAGAACGGGAGGCTGGCTGACTGGTTTGCAGCTTGTCTAGCACAGCGAACAGTGCAATGCAGAGTTGAGGAGAATTCGCTGCAAAAGTGTTCTCCCTTGCAACTATATATACTTCCGCAGAAGTTTGTCGCGTTGTCTTTGTTATTGACTAGTGTCTGACAGCCTTGGCAAACGCGCTAGATTTCCCCGTTTTGGCTTACATTCTGCAGTTATCAACCGTTTACGGTTTTCGCCATTGACTTTTCAGATATATGCTACAATTTGCGCCCCGCCGAGTTCTGCTTAAAAAACATCACACAACTTAGCGGAGCCCAAAATTTACGCCAAGCTTGGTTTTCTATCATACAGTCTGTACTTAGCAAGTAAACAACTCAGATAAGCGAAACACAGCAATTATTTAGTGAATTCTCGGGATGCGAAACAACGCAACTACATTGTCAGTTTATGCTGAGGTCATTGCGTCGACGTTCCGTTGTGTTTCGCTTATCTGAGTTGTTTACTTGTTAAGTACAGACTGTATGATAGAAAACCAAGCTTGGCGTGAATTTCGGGCTCCGCTAAGTTGTTTGATGTTTTTTAAGCAGAACTCAGCGGGGCGCAAATTGTAGCATATATCTGAAAAGTCAATGGCGAAAACCGTAAACGGTTGATAACTGCAGAATGTAAGCCAAAACGGGGAAATCTAGCGCGTTTGCCAAGGCTGTCAGACACTAGTCAATAACAGAGACAACGCGACAAACAGCTGCGAAAGTATATAAGTTGCAAGGGACAACACTTTTGCAGCGAATTCTCCTCCACTCTGCATTGCACTGTTCGCTCTGCTAGACAAGCCGCAAACCAGTCAGCCAGCCTCCCGTTCTCAGCGTGATTGTCCGCCCTTCCCTCTCCAGCGTCCATCATGCGCGCGCTGCTCCTCTTGACCCTACTCGCACTGAGCGTTGGGGCCTGCTCTGCGCAACAGACCATCACTTGCTTCGATACTTGTCCTCCACGCCTGTAAGAACGGGGATGCGAAGTGTTTGGGCTGTCCAGGCTGTGGTGGCCGCAACAACGTCCCGCCATGCCGCACGTGCTGCGTGTAAACGCCCGGTCACCTACAGTCGGGTGAGCAGATGGAATTTTGGTGAAGAAATAATGATGCAAGTGATGCCATCGTCAAATCGCCGCAGCGTCCACATATAACAACAAATCAGCGTGCCGCAGCCATAGGATCAACGCTTCGTAAACCTAAACTTCGTTAAACTGATTATGCGCTTATCACAGTTTGGCTTTCAGCTTGTTTTGTGGTTAGCTTTTACTGCAGTTTGCTGTCAGGTTTTGTCCTGGCAGGCTCCGCTTGGTGTTATTTCCTACCGTGCGACAGGCCGTTGCAAATAAAAACATGTAAATTTCTGAAACGACTTACCGTTACGGTACGGAAGCGCATTCACCGCACAGCGCAATGGTAAGATAGTCGTTGTGAGGCAATCAGTTGTTTATCGGCAAAATTATCAAATCTTTACGCGCACCGTTGTCGTTCATGGAACTGCGGAACCTTTCCCCTTGCCATCACGAGAATAGGTTAGCAAAAGATTTTATGCCGGGGCTGCCTTTTGGTTGGACGAAAAGTCACTCCTTGGGCAGCACTGCAGCAGTGACTCGTTGCAGCACTGGTGCAAATGACGTTCTGAGTATCGAGGCGCTTGTGGCATTATTGCTGAAGAGTTTACGATGATCCCGCCAGTACCTGTACTATCCTAGCACATGACCCCCATGTTTCATGACAACGGCAAAAGTGAGTGGGTGCTTCACCCGGGTTCTGCAGCTGGTAATGCAGCTAGATGAGAAAACAAATCAGTTTTCTGCTCAATACATTTTAATGTGGTAACTAGCTAGTGCTGCATAACTGCAAAATTGGAAACCGAGCAGCATTTTCGGCCGAGCTCTGCACGGAGTATTCGGCCAGTGCGCACCACGGAACCTGGTCTTTAATTATCGTTGCCGGCTCACGAAATGCAGTGGACGAGCTCGATCACACTGGAGTCGCTCGTTGGTTGGCTGGAGTTCGATCAGCGGCAGATCACTATTTCGATCGGATTTTAGACAGCGGCGTTAGCTGGGAGGCCATTACCAGCCGGTTCATGTGGGCTGAGGACCATCACTTCCCATCGGTGCCGCATGGCCTACAAGTCAAGATTAACAGCCATTCGTACTTGATAGGGTCGTCTACCGGAGTTTCACCGGAGAGCGCCGTGTGGTCTGTCGGCGTGGTCCTGAGGGAGATCTTCACCTTCGGCAAGCAGCCGTGGTACGCCTTCTCCCATTCCGAGGTCAGTTCTGAAGGCAGTTGCTAAGTAACAGCGCTGCACAGCATACCACTGACCAGGACTGCATGGAACTACTGGCCGTCTAAACATCTCAACCATACAAATCATCTGTCCATCGCGAGTACTGAAATACTGTGCTGGAATGGTGGTACCGGGTGGCTGAACAAAATCGCAGTCTCCTGTTTTCGTTTGTTTCTCGCAGACCCTTTGTCGTACGGTAAACTGTTTAAGCTTATTCGATGGAGAATTTTATTAGCTACTTACAAAACTTTAAAAAAAGTAGGACTCAAAGTATGGCGAAAAGTAATACGTGACACGTCGGCCAGCCTCGCCCCGCCCCCTTCCAATACTTTAAATGCGCCCCCCGGCGGTCAAAAATCCGAAAAGGGTGTGGGGCGCCCGCCGGTGCGCCCCCCTTTCTGGCGGGCCTGTGCCAAATGAAACCGTCTGAAAATTTCTCGCGTCCCAGCTCACAAAACATAAAATCTTGTGCCATTTCTTCCCCTTACGGACTTCTTGAACATTTTTAACTGTTTCATTTAGCAAAACAAGTTTTCTTTCAATAGAAAAAAAAAGTTGCGGATATGCTGCATACGCTGAACGAGTTATGCAGTCATGACACATTGTGACTTTTCCAAAAAATGTCGATTTTTTATTTGGTATTTTCGAGTATTTTCGGTTAAAATTTTTGGCTGCATGACAGGTTGCACCAAAAAATGCAGGTTTAAATTTAAAATGTAGCTAACACATTGCCCTTTCAGAAACGATACTGAACCAGGTAAGCTTTAAGAGCGCTGGTTAGAAATTTGTTCTCAAAAACTTTGTTTGCCGGTTTAACGAGAATTACTCGTGCAGAGTCTCTGTACTTCAGCGCACTGGCCAAGCACGGTTGCTAGAATACTGCAGTTCCTTACAGTAAAAAAACGACAAAACAACCCCTCTAGTAGAAACAGTAAAATAAGCTGCATTAATGTCGTTAGTTGAAGAGCAAGAATTTTTAATTTAGAAACGGGTAATTTTAGATTTTCGCTTCGAGGACATCGTCTAAACCCAGCAATTTTACAGAACAGTTCATAAAAAATTTCAGCCTTATGGTAATTTTGACTTCACTTAACTTCTTTATGTTAAAAGCAATGCTCTATCGAATGAAACTCAGATAACGTTAATTAAGTGTTGGACGGATCCAGCGCACCATGATAAAACAGACGGCCATTTTGTTCAGCCACCCGGTACAATATTGTATCGGACATGCGGTAATTTGTGCGCCTGCGGTGCGGTAGATTCTTGGTATCTGTAATCGTGAAACTGGAAAGCCGTTGACAGACTTCATTCAGTTAATCGCAACGCCAATAATTCACCCTAACAGCATTACTGTATTGGGGAACAACCTATCGACAAAAAAAATCAGAATGCTACAAAACGAATTCCAGCAAAACGCGAGGAAAAAACCCATGCAAAGTCAAGTCTAAGCGTAGTTTTAGGAAACGGTAGGCTTACCATCCAAACTTCGTTGTATTTATGCACATTGCACATGCCATTACTCTACGATGCGCGTCTATCTGTACAGTAACAAGCGCTAGCATCAAAATACAGCAAAACGATGTGCCGTATCTGCTATTTCGATAATGATGCTTCTCCCTCTCCTTTCCGAATAAACATGGCCGGATACGACACCTTTGCGGGAAACTGACTTTCTGCAGTGAATACCGGAAGCGCCGCGAGGTATTTCGCTTTTATACAGAACCGGTTTTTGTCGTACAAAGCAATTGTATTTACGCGGATGTGGCTACGAAATAACCGTGCCTTGCAGTGTACAGCCACAGCTGTCACGATAAACGGCTTCCGCTGCAACCGTTTTTCCCGACTGTATAAAGCTTTGTTGACGTCTTTTTTGAGCTTTAATCGTCAGAAGTACACTTTTGCTGGATTAAATCTGACTGGCTTTTGGACTGTATTGGCAGTCTAAAATCGGTAGGCTTTTGTCCTGTATCGGCAGAATATCTGCTTAAGAAAATGGTGAGGACAGCTGGTTTCGGTGCGGCGATTTTCTTGTGTCTGTTGGGTTTACTGGCATCGCAGGATTCCTCTTGTAAGTCGCACTGGCAGATCAGATTTAAACCCGAACCACTTAGTACCCTTTCATGCAATGCAGTAGCATTTATTCTTGTTTTCCCTTTTGTTGTAGCCTTTTCCCAAAGCAGCTCAAAGAGCTGCTCGGGAACAAACTGTTTTGTATCGGGTTTCGTGTCAGTTTCTTCCGGAGGCTCTCCCCAGGTAGTAATGGCTTACTGCGCAGTTGAACGGTCAGCGCTCACCAGTTTAAGTAATTACACATAACTCTTGTCGGTACATCTGCAGATGACGAATTCGTTTGCTCGGACGGATCTGCGCGACCAGAACCAAGGGGATCGCGTCACACCCATCCGCTTCGCCGGTGACAATGGTGACAGCCGACCGAATTCCGGCGCGATAGCTGTGACAGCTGCGTATACGTCGCTGGGTGTTGCTGCACTAGCTTTACTGATCTTTCGTCGAGCCGTTTGCTGTTAAATATGTAATACATTATTTCAGCGTAGTTACATTATTAGTAGCGTAACTGGGCGCACAATTCTAATAACGATAACTGCGTATTCGAATAAAGCAAATGGTACGTCTTAATTTTGAGCCTTTTTACACGATTGTCGCTTGTATTACGCAATGATCACGCGGACTGGTGAGTAAGGTAGGCAATGGGAGCGTCGAAATGTCTTCTATCGAATTAATTTACTTGATCACGAAGTTGCTGCAGATAACGTCAAAATCGAATCCTCGAGCATGCCATTCGGTACACGGTGGTCACCGCCCGAGATGTGCGGAAACATCTTTTAATGAACTCGATGATAGTTGTTCTGACGATGACCGTTTGTGTGGCTAGCTTTTGAAACAGACCGGATATGTTTTAACTTGGTTTACCTAGTTGCATAACATCTCATCAACTGTGCTAACCAAGCCGCGAGGCAAAGCTAGTGCCTCTCGTTGTGCTAGTTAGCTGTACAGCCGTTAGATAGCAGTAACACCAAACAATTTGACGTTTACCGGAAGTACAACCAAGAAATATTTGTGAAAACATTGCCACAAAACACAAACAAATAACGTTAAACCGGTAGAGTTTACTGTTTTGAAGCAAAAAATGGGGAAAACCCAGTAAACTCGCCAAATGACAAGCACATTTCTCATTCATCTCAAGAATCACTGGCTCGTATATAAGCGACAGGAAAAAGTTATCAATCGACGATACTAATAACAGTCTGCGAGGTTCGCAATTTCTTGCCAGAAAAGCTCGAATATAATAACAACGATACCGACAATTTGACGGTTACTTATTATCGTTCTCTACGCTGTTAAGTGTCCACCATGCGCGCTTGTCTTATCTTGCTTATATTGGCCGTTGTGTGCCGGCCCGGCCAGTCCGTGGACGAGGCCTGTGCCAAGATCTGCACGCCCGGCTCCACGCTGTGCCGAGTCAATCAGCAGCTGTGCGGCACCTGTCCCGGCTGTATAAGAGTTTACGACTCGGCAGCCCCCTCCAAAGACAACAAACATCCCCCCAAGGATGTTAAGAAAAGCAGTTGAACGGCTGGTAACTGCACGTCCTGCTGTAAATGCTTCCGTGACTATAGAAATTACGATGTGTGTATTTGCTAAATATGCATTTGCTAAATAAATGTTGTTTTCTAGTGAGCTGTTGCTAATTGGTCTTTACATAATATCTGGTTTCTTGCTGACGTCTGAGACGACCTCAACATTAAAAAAAACTGAACCTATGTTCCGATGTTTTCATTAGATTTGTTTGTTTATTCAGCTTAACGTCTACAACGATCAGGAATATCCTGCACAAGGTAGTAAACTACCATTGAAGAATATGCTGCCGCAGCGGCAGCTTATAAAACACAAACAAAAGGAAAACAATTATTAAAATTAATATCCGGCAATAAGTGTCAGAGTAAGCATCTGAGATCTTTATGAATAAAACAATCGGTCCACTTTAAATCCATCCATTTTACAAAGTCCAGACACGACTCGAATCGTCGGATAGAATCGTACGACTCCTTGGGAAACTTAATTTCGTTCCATAAACGGGCCATGAGGAAAGCGAAGCTTCGTTCACTGATGAAGATCCGTCCGTCGGCAGTTCGGGTTCCCACGGGTTCCACTGCGTAAGGGTCCGAGTCCAAGGTCGTTACCTGACGTGTCCCGCCTGCAATACAATCAGAGCCAAGAGCAATAGTTCCACGAAGTTGTCGGCATGAGGTACAAAATTAAAAAATAAAAAAAGAATTTATCGGCATGAGGTACAAGGCCCAACAACATCCTGTACATCATGCCTAAAGACTTTTTATTGCGACAGAATAACAGCGATTTACCAGCGATAACAGCGATAACAGCGATTTTGTACCCGATAACAGCGATAACAGCGATTTTGTACCCGGTTTTCCTGACAGTTTCGCAGTACTCAAAACTGCATGGTCCGAGCCGAATCGTTTTCAAAAATCTGAACTGGCATTTTTCCATAAGGTCAACCGACTGTTTCTGCTGGTAGAAAGGAACTGTACTGCCATATTCAGCAGTCGGTTTTACCAGTGCATCGTATTGTTCGGGCGGCGCTATTCTGAAGGGGAAAGAGCGCATTGAGATAACGAATTCGCTTTTTCATACGGCAAGCCAAATTCTCCCAATGAAATTTCCAACTAATTTTACGGTCGAGATAAATGCCCAGATATTTCGTGTTCTCAGTAACAGGGATTTTTTCAGACTCTAAGGTATACATGCTTTCTTGCAACCTCGCGCGTTTGTTCGTGAAACGTATGTGCCCAGATTTAGCTGGATTGAATTTCAGTTGGTGTCGAATAGCATAGTCTGACACTTTGTTTAAAGCTGACTGCAACTTTACTTCGTCTTGTTTCGATTCGATTTTACAAAGAACACAAACATCGTCCGCAAAAATGAACACTTCGCAGTCCTCAGGTAGATCTGCAATGTCGTTCATTATGCAAAGGTACAACTTAGGACCTACAATCGATCCTTGAGGAACACCGCTCGTGACCTTTTTCATATGTGAAATTTTAGTATATACGATTACAGCTTGAGACCGGCCCTGTAGGTAATCGCTAAATAAATCAAGATTGCGGTAGTCATTATTCGGAACTCCACTGATGACCTTGATCTTTTCCTAGCGAAGTGGTTACACGCTCTCTTGAAGCGTTAAATAAACAGTTCGAATAAACGAACATTAACCACAAGAAATCTCTACAACGACAGCAACATGCTGATCTGAAACATTAGTTTCAACGCCAGTCCATACAAGGAGACTGCGGAAAGTAGGAAAAACTAGAAAAACGGCGTTTAAGTTTTATTCTAACAATTTTGTCCCTTCTAATTTATTTCTGCCTAGTCTTAAGCATTTTGTATCCCCGGTAACTGACAGCTCAAAAACCAAAATTTTCGGTGGGCCATTCAATGCTCAGATCGGTAAAAGTGCGGAATTTTTAAGGTAGAGCTAATTTCCAGGTATATTTATCGATGCCGTTGTGGTACTACAGCTATTTTAGAAACCACATTTTGCAAAACCATTCCGTGACCTTTACAAAGTTACTAAAAATCAAGTGTTCAACCACCAAAGCCGGCACGATCCTCGAAGTGTAAATAAATTTCATTCTTCAAGCGGAGCAGCTCTGACAGTTAACTCTATGCAAGCTGGCAACAAGCTACAAACGAAATCGCGATTTAGCAGCGTAATAATTACTTCTGCAAACACAAGCGTCAATTTTATCGTAATGTAAGTACGCCAATTCGTTAGTAGATGTGGACGCCGTGGCCGTCGGTTCCATCATAATTGTTCGCCATGAATACAGCTTGTCCGCGGACATTTCGTGTGGGGGCGTCCCTGACGGGTTTACGGACAGCACGAGCGGCATGCCGGGACCAGGACGGGGCCGGGGTTGTGGGGCCCAGTGCCACAGCCTGGACAGCCCACACACTCGCCCGTGCCGTCCACGCAGGCAAGCGTCACGCCAGGAAGACATTGCAAGGCGCATTTGGCCTCCGCATTCAGCTGGGCGGAGCAGGCGACTGCGCACAGGGCGAGGAGGGCCAGGAGCAGCAGCGTGCGCATGATGACAGGGCAGGGAAGGACTCAGAATCAGCTAAGAAGCCGGGAGACTGGCTAACTGCTTTGCGGCGTGAGAAGCAGAAGGAAAAGTACACTGCAGACTCGACTGTGCTGCAAAGCCTCTTTCCCTTCCTTCTTATATAGCTGGCTCGCTGTCTGTCGTTTTGTTTGTCTGAGAGAGTGTCTGCCAATCTTGGCAGGGGCTCCGAATTTTCCCTCCTTTCCGATTACAAACTGCGGTCACGTGCTATTCTCGTACATGTATTTTCTACGTGTCTGTTTACACCGGCATTGTGCGACGATAACTGTCATTGGTGTCTGGTTACGGTACGCCACACGCTGAGTTGTTTACGGTTTCCTAAGCATAAATTTAGCATAATATGATAACTGGTGTGGTTTACCTGTAGCGTATTAACATAATTAAATGTTGCTAAATCATGCCGTCTGTTGACAAGGAAAATCTCCAACAAAAAACATCCCGACCCAACGCCAGACATCTACCCGCGGGTTACGCTGGCCGTTATATCCCAGTGTGGCGTATACCAACTACTGCAGTCCAAGCTTGTCTCGTAATAATATTGATTTTATAGCGCATCAGCATACCGACAAAAAGAAATCCACGCCCACGGGTCTCGCCAAATTCCATACTACGGCGTACCACACCGCACTGTTTACGTTCTACACGCATTTGGCGTAGCTTAGCAAAGCCAATTATCGATCAATTAAGCACAATCCATATAAATTATAAATTATGCTTGTAATAATCTTGAATCTTGAGAGAAGAGAGAAGTGAATTTGTCACTGTGGTAAACCCAGTGTAGTGGCAATCGTTCATATCGCCACTTTCGCGCTAAATACGCGGGACAAGCTTGTACACTGACCATTTGTTAAACGGCGCGGTAATTGTGTTTGCTAATAAACGGCAATGTGAAGATAGAATTTAAGAGAACTTTCTACATATGCTGCATGACAAGCAGTAGCCGTTTCTCAGCTCCCATCGCCGGGTAGCTCCTCCTTCGCCCACCCTGCTAGTTTGTCTTGAATGATATACGGTCTCCCGGGACACATCTTTTTCTGTGCGTCAACAGCTTTTGGACCGGGGGGCTGGTGATCAGCAGGCCAAAGGTACCGTATAACGTTAGAGCGGGCGTTGAGTAAATTTGGCACATGTCCTTTCCACTCTGAGATTTCCGTGGGTATCGGCAATGCGCCGTTCAGCAGCAACGGTCCGGTTGCTTTTTTCGGGGTTTTTCCATGTCAAACATTTAACATGTTAATGCGCTATAGGTAAAGCTTACCAATTATCATATTATGCTAAATTTATGCTTAGGAAACCGTAAACAACTCAGCGGGTGGCATAACGTAACCAGACACATATGACAGTTCTCGTTGCAAAATGCCGGTGAAAACAGACAAGTAGAATAAGAGAGACACGGTATGTGAACTGTAGTATGTAATCGGAAAGGGGGGAAAATTCGCAGCTCCTGCCAAGATTGGCCGACACAGTGTAAGACAAACAAAACGACAGACAGCGAGCCAGCTACATAAGAAGGAAGGGAAAGACGCATTGCAGCACAGTCGAGTCTGCAGTGTACTTTTCCTTCTGCTTCTCACGCCGCAAAGCAGTTAGCCAGTCTCCCGGCTTCTTAGCTGATTCTGAGTCCTTCCCTGCCCTGTCATCATGCGCACGCTGCTCCTCCTGGCCCTCCTCGCCCTGTGCGTCGTCGCCTGCTCCGCCCAGTTGAATGCAGCGGCCGAATGCGCCTTGCGTTGTCTTCCTGGCGTAACGCTGGCCTGCGTGGATGGCACTGGTGCGTGTGTGGGCTGTCCAGGCTGTGGCACTGGGCCCCACAACCCCGGCCCCGTCCTGGTCCCGGCATGCCGCTCCTGCTGTCCGTAAACCCGCCAGCAACACACCAATCACGGAATGTCTGCGGACAAGCTGTAGTCATGGCGAACAATTATGATGGAACCGACGGCCACGGCGTCCACATGTACTAACAAACTGCCGTGCTAACATTACTATCATACTATGCAATTAACGCTTATGTTTGCAGAACTTATTACGCTGTTGAATCGCGATTGATTTGTAGTTTGTTGTCGCTTGCATAGAGTTGCTGTCCCAAGCATGATGTCACGGAATACTCCGCTTGATAAATAAAGATTAATCACTCGGAGATCGTGCCGGCTTTTATCGTTGCACAGTTGATATTTTAATAATCTTGGAAAGGTCGTCAACATTTTTGACGTACCATCAAACACAAGTCCCATTCCAATACGGTTGTTTTGCCTGTATCCTACGAATTAACAGCCCTCCATTAATGCACTAAGTCGCTTGTTCCACATCGTTAAAATGTCCTAGAAAACGATTTTAGTCTCCAACTTCTGTAACAGCGCTGAAAGAGCGCATGGACGGCTACACTTCGCCCAGAACGAACGGTCAGCGGATGTTTTGACCCTTAAACCATCAAAATGTCCGCCGTAAGCTGTGCCCGCACACGACTTTCCCGCTCTTTTGGCAAACACCACGAGTCCGTATGTAGATTTTGTAGCCGGACGTTTTGGTCTGCGAGTGAGATCCGCAGCTGGACGTTCAGAATGAAACAGCGCTAACTGTCACGAAGTAGGAAATAAACAGTAATATTTATTTGGTACTGTAGTGGCTCGCACATCTTGTACCACAGAGTTGGTGTACGGGAAAAATGTGCATCCAATATACACACTCTAACCGGGCAAAATGCACGCCTACGAAATAATGCTTGATTTGACTTCAAGATGAACTCTCCTTCTGAATCTGTCCAGAATCAAACATTTTCTTTAAAATTGTAATTCACCTTAGAAAAGAAGCTCTGTATCTGAGAACTCGAATTGTTCTGTAGCTGTAGAATGTTGACGCTGAACGTGCCCCTCACTCTGCAGGGGCACCCCAAAAACCACAACAAATCAGTGTTTGAATTCGAGCTGACAGCAAAGATTTAAGTTAATGGCTGCTTTTGAGCATAAATTTAGTTAATAATTATTAGAGCTCTAATTTTTTTAATATTCAGGAAGGTTCTCCAGACCAGAAGTTGAGAAACATCAGAAATTTATCAATGCACGCCAACTGCGAATCGTGCGTTTTGCCCGGTTAGAGTGTGTATATTGGATGCACATTTTTCCCGTACACCAACTCTGTGGTACAAGATGTGCGAGCCACTACAGTACGTGCGCGCTGCTCTACTGATCGATCAACAATATCTCACAGCTTAGCAGTCGTTACTAGGTAGAAGGTCATGCATTAATGCACGGCATCTCACTAACCATTAATCATAATATTATTCTGAAAATGCATGGGCGCCGGACGATTGACCTCCTCGTTGTCACAGTGAACTGCAAAACGTTTCCAAGATGCTGCCCGGCTCAACTGTGCAACAGCTGTCCAGGTTGTACCTATAAACTACGCCGAAGTCGCAGCCGGTACCAACAGCCGCCGAAAAGAAAGTTTGGTGGCTTTGTAACCGTCAACATAAAGTGCACGAAAAACTTTGGGTGCTGCAAATGTCTGCAAAAAATGTACGTGCGGATTCGCTTCAGTCGCATTATGAAATAAGCCGATTTTTCAGTGCTTGCCGCTGTTACTGTACCAGGTTGCGTTCGATAAGAACTTAGTTAAACAGCTTCCATGACCCGGTGAAGCTGTCTCATACGGCATTTGTTCGTCTAGTATTTGAAGGACAAAGTTACGATTATGCTCATTGAATTACACGGCAAAAGTATGAAGGGGATATGCGACCTACAAAGATTAGGAGGTCCTACAATGATCCTTTTCTAACACCGCATGATCCCAGAGTGACCCATGCACGTTGGTTTAGAAAACTCAACAGGGAATTGTCCATTATATTCTTGGTACTTTTGGCCGGTGGAAAGATTTGGACGAACTAATGTTCTTTCAAAAAAGTGGACTGCTAATACAGAGGCGTTCGAAAGGGTACCTACTATGCATATGGCTTTTAATGGCATACAAGCAGAACAACATGGAAATTTCATCAAGTAAAACAACCAGATAAAATAAAGTAAAGTAAAACAATCAAATAAAATCGATCATCAAGCAAATTTCATCAAGTAAAACAAATCGTCTTGGCAGGTCAATACGGATGCGTGCGTTAGTAGCAGCCAGCAGGACCCGCTGACGCCGCTGAATTACTTGCTCTTTTTACGTGTACCGGTGTACGTTAAGTTTTGTTACAAAAGTGCATTCGCGCAATACTACTTAAAATGATACAAATTTAAACGTTAAGAAAACAGCCAAAAAGCGTTATCGCCGTCAAAAATCCTGGGACGCATATTCAAGGTGCCCAAAACAGTAGCAGCATTTCCTTTCACTACAGCTAGGCTAAATCTCTGCTTCAAAAATGCAGTAGAACGAGGTTCCCCTGTGACGTCGCGAATCTTTCTGCCAGCGAAACGAATAAGCTCCATAAAATCAGATCCAAATGTGCCAAAGGTTTCGACTGCCAGGGGGAAAAACAAGTAACCCATCCTTTCCACATAGGAATATTTACGGTGTTTACTGTCTTCGGCCAGATGTGCAACATTACCGGAGGCGCTCGCGCTTGCCGGGACAGCCACCGTGTAGCATGTAATTGCTTAATAAGTAAGTGTTTATTAGTCAGATGGCTGCCTTAAACAAAGATTCTGGAGCGTGGTTAAATGCGTTGCCGGCACCATGTTTGGGCACCTTCCTAAGGGACGACGATGTGAGAATTGGTGTAGCCTTGCGCTTTGGATTACCGGTAGTGGTGGCACACAATTGCATCGCGTGCGGTACACAAGTCGAAACCAATGGTCATCACGGGCTATCATGCAATAAATCAACCAAAGGACGATGGGCGCGGCATAAAGAAATGAACAGCATCGCAAAGAATTGTTGCGAAAGCGCTGGTTTCCCTTGTCAGATGGAACCGACTGGACCATCCAGCACAGACGGGAAAAGACCCGACGGAATGACGCTGATACCTGTTCGCCAAGGCAGACCGCTTGTTTGGGATGTAACAAGCTGGTGTACTGTTGCAGATTCCCACGTCGCTGCAAGCGCGAAGAAATCCGGAAGTGTGTCCCAAATGGCAGAAAATTCCAAGCGCCGGACGTATTCCTTTTTGGACTACGGTTACCTCTTTTATCCGCTGGTTATTGAGACACTTGGAGTTTTTGGCCCTGCTTTCAGTGAAATGCTGCATTTCATGGGCCGAAAGATTCGGGACATAACGGGCGAAGCGCGTTCTACTGCTTTTCTCAAGCAGCGTTTTAGTTTAGCTGTTGTGAAAGGAAATGGTACGGCTGTTTTGAGTAATTGCCTTTTAATCCGAGAGAGGATAAGGATTTTGGTTGTTTTTTTATTGTTTAATTTTTAACTATTAAGTAGTGTACCAGCGCTTGCAATTATTTCCATTTGGGCGGCTATTGCCAATAAACTCAGTGTTTATACTGTGCTCAAAATCGTAATGTCCATATAATATTACTGTGATTATTCATTCGTATACAGGTTACACATGCCCAACATCGAAATGTAAGATGTCTACACTCGGTAAGATGCTTTTTGAGAGGACACAGGAGAAACGGTCCACTCAGTTTCTGAAGCAGAGAATCAGTGTTGCTTTAATGTTCTACGTCTCCTATGCGACCACACAACGCCAAGTGGGGGGAACTGGAGATGCTGTTGACCGGAAGCGCGAGCAAGGTGCGTGAACGCGAATGCGTTGGCCACCTCTGGTCGCTCCAGCCGCACAGGCAACCCCTTTATTTTGATTCGGTAGGAGCAAAATAACGAAACAAAAACAAAACAGGTGCGCGGCGGGCGGGAAAACAAAATTCTCGACGTGCAGATCGAGAGGTGAACAAGTGCGAAATGAGAACTCGAGAGGCTAACCAGTGAGCGAGCAAAATGAAAACTCGTGATGGCAAGCGAGCGTGCAGTGTGAACAGTGCGCGGAAAGCGGCTAAACAGAGACAACACACAAAGCGGCCGGCTTCCGTCCACATCAAACCGCACGAATGGTGGTCCGGCTCGGCCGATGCGGCGTGCAGAAGAAGGGAAGCGCCGTCGACGTAACATTAACTTGAATTAACGTTGTTAATTAGCTGTTAATGTTCTACGTCTCCTATGCGACCACACAACGCCAAGTGGGGGGAACTGGAGATGCTGTTGACCGGAAGCGCGAGCAAGGTGCGTGAACGCGAATGCGTTGGCCACCTCTGGTCGCTCCAGCCGCACAGGCAACCCCAAACTACCCCAAACCACTGTTCGTTCCGTAGGCGTCAAGGCCGGGTGTCGGAACTGCCGTGCGGACGTATCTTGTGAAGCAGGAGGACTTCCAGCGGCCAATGGTTTGAATAGCGGAGTCCGGAGCTCCATTTGATGCTGCGGTGGAAGCCGCCCCGATACGGAAGCTATGAGTGCTATAGCGTTCCCTTCCGGGTGTGCCGTTGAGGAAGATCTGAAGCCACCGGTCAACTTGTGTTCGCGTGACAAACTGTCCGTCCTGTTGCAGGAAAAATGGGTGGGACTGCTGCGTGGGAATTCTGACGGCTGCATAATTCTGGATTGCTGTGACAGGGCAGACTGACCTGCTAGTGGATACCAGCGTGATCTTGTACCCGTGTCCGAATTGATCGGTTTTGGATCGCCGAACGCTGATGACCACTGACTCACTGCCAATGGTGACGTCGCTGGTCGACAGCGTTCTTCTGTCGTCGTAATGACGGGTCGATTGCGACGTGAACTCGCTCACTCGCAGAGCAGCAAAGAACGCGGTCGTGAAGGTGCTCCAGATTAGGAGTTTCGAATACGCTGACAGAGCGGAACTTCTAATGTTGTCTTTCAGTCTTCGCATGATGTCCAAAGTAATTGGCAGGCGGCCGTCGACCGCCTTGGGGCATATCCTTCTGCAGCCGTCTACTGCTCTTAGGACTGATGCGCTTGCAGTAGGACTTGGAAGGCTAGCTTCGGCGTGAACTTTGGCTATGCTGGCGACGTACACTTTGATCGTGGCCGGAGAAATGTTTTGAAGAAACAGATGCGCTATGAAACGCAGCACGCTGTTTTCCGTCGTCGGGAGAGGAGAGGTGTGGTCGTTGATGCAAAATTCTTTAAACCGTGCCCAGCCGGCATTATATGTCGTTCGTGTCGTACTGGCAAGATGGTGATATTGCAGCCGCGCAACAGTGACATCTAATCTGTCGGGACATCGTATGTGCGCTGGAGATCTTCCCAAATGTCCGGTATGGCTTCCGGGGAGGCTTTGGCGTGTGGTGCCAGTCTCCTGAACCGGGTCGTCTGAAAACGTGATAACGAATCAGCGATATGGTTGTCGATGCCGCTTATATGCACTATCTTGACGGTAAAATTGTTAACCGCGGACACTGCTAGCATGCGACGCATTAAGTCCAGGACTGCGGCGTTGCCAGAACCCAGCTTCTCCCACGCTTGGGAGGCCCCCAGGTTGTCGCAGTGCAGTAAGACCCGCATGCGCTGCAGCTTGGGTGCCCAGATGGTCAACGCGATAACGACAGCAGCCATTTCCAAGTACTCGATGCATGGTTTCCTTTCGGTGACCCAGACGGGCCACCGAGACTGAAACCATTCGCCAGCAAGGTAGCCACCGATACCATGCGTTGCGGAAGCATCTGTGTACAGTTCAGTAACTTCAGGTCCTGACCAGTCGGGCTGGAGGAACTTGCTTGTACCATTCCACTGCGGTAAGAATGTTGCCCACCATTTAGGATCAAGATGAAAGCCGGTATCCAGCTTAATACGCGTCAGCGGGCGGCTGCCGCTGCTCTTACCTTTGCTGATAAGCAGTATCATACGGCGCAGAAACAGACGGCCAGCCGGTACGCATCTGCATGCAAACTGGAGGGTTCCGATGAGACTTTGCAGATCGTGCAAGGTGCACTCAGATTTCGTTTTCCAGTTGTCCAGCAAACCCACAATCTCGCTCAGCTTCGCTGCTGGTAAGGAAAGCGTTCGGGTAACGGAGTCTATGTGGATTCCGAGAAAGGTAATGGCAGTTGATGGACCATCCAATTTGTTCATCGCAAGCGGCACGCCGAGATCGCTGCAAATATCTGTAAATTTCTGTAGCAATAAGGAGCACTCGCGGTAACTTGCTGCAATGATTAGGAAATCGTCGACGTAGACCAGTATTGCACTGTGTCCGGTTTCGCACTTAAAGATCCATAGAATTGCGTCTGAAAACTTGCAGAAAATTCCAGGTGCAGATCGGCAGCCAAATGGTAACACAACGTCGTAATAGTACTTCTTCCCGACTTTGTATCCTAGGAGACAATGTTGCGACTCTTTTACCGGTATCAGCCGGAACGCTGCTTCAATGTCCAGTTTCACCATGACAGCCTCAGCTGGGAGCTGGAGGATTAGCTTGACAGCATCGTCGACGGAGCAAAACTGAAGTGGAGGATCATCCTTTGGAATGTGCAGATTCACAGAATCGATTGCTGGACGGGACAGGTCCATGATCATTCTGTGTCCACCGCTTTTCTTGACCCGCATGCTTAACGCGTTGACTGTGAACTGCTGAAACGGCCGCTTTGTAAATGGCCCTTTCGTGTGTCCCAACTGCACTTCTCTGTCAACAACAGACTGAACGGTGACATGATGAATGACGATGGATGGACTGTTAGGAGTGAAACGAGAACGATGAGGCCCAGTGTATTTCAAGTCCGCGCCCACGGTTAAACATTCGAGTAAATAAGCCACCAACGAAGCATCCGGATGAGCGGCCAGATGACGCACAAACGCTTCTGCTTTAAGAGGCGTTGTCCTGCCTGGGGCGGCTGCTGCCCCCTGAGGTTCCTTGACGGTGGACGTGATCGCCGTGCGCGGTTGACCCACAAGAGCTGCAGACATGTTTCCGGTTCCCGCTACAAGGTGTTGAGCACGCTCCACGGTTAAATTTCCTGCACATATCTCCGTCTGCGGCGGAACTGTTCCGAAAAAGCTGATCCCGATCCGGGCAGTTCATGGCGATATGGCCCATTTCACGGCATCGGTTGCACTTCGCGAATTTGTGCTTATTAACGCCGGTGTGAGTGACGGTAGACGTTGTGATCCGGGGATTTGCAATTGACTCCTGGTAGGCTTCATCATGTCTGCGAGTCCAAATCTCCGTATTGTCCGGATCACTGGTTGCGTAATTTCGGAACTGCGCGTCGTACTCTAAGACATGCTCCAGTTTGTGCCCGCGAGCGGGATCGGCAAGAAGGCATATCAAGTCTAGATATTTCAGCATGGGAATTGTGAACTCCGGCGCTTCGAAGGTCCTGTAGGCCATGAATACAGTAAATGCGCGGGTCCACGAAGCCAGACTGGTAATTTGTTCTTTCTTCATGGCTGACGTAAAGGTGTATTCGCCCGTTGCTTCGTCAACGACCATCCGCGTTCCAGGGTTCGGTCGCTTAGAGGGCGCTCGATTCTGTGGCAACAGGTCAACAAAGTCGACAAACTGCTCCCTGTCAAGGAGCTGCTCCCGTAGTTTCGGCGAAACCGCTGGGAGGTCCTTGTATCTTGCAGGGATGTTGGCGACCGCAGGCCCTAATCGCTCGGAAATGGGTCGGTGCGCTGGCGCAGGACCATCAAGAATAACGCTGTCTGTGTCCTTACCTTGCACTGTAGTGACCCGATTCGATGCCGGCGACAGAGAGCGATGCGCTTGAGGCCCGCCGACGTGTAATGCCGAGCCGCTTGTGGATCCCTGGAGTGATACCAGCTGACTGATCTGCTGCTTCAGTACCGCCACATCAGCCGTCAGCGTGTCAATCTGGGATGGGGAGCTGAGAGAGGATCCCGGAGGGATGACGACCGTAGACGCAACCCGCTTACCCGCTGGGGGGTTGTTGGTATTGTCCGCTGGTCGCTTCGCACTGCCGGTTTTCTGTTGAGCCGCCGAACGTGTCTGGGGTCCTCCAGAGCCACCGCGAGCACGACCTGTCCTCCTGCCTCTTCCCCTTCCAGTCATTGTGCAGTAAGAATGGCACGATACACGATACTTGAATTTCGTAGCGAATTTAGCGTTGTAACTAAAACGCTATCAGAATTGGAACACCAGATTTGTCCACCAGATAAAACAAAATTCTCGACGTGCAGATCGAGAGGTGAACAAGTGCGAAATGAGAACTCGAGAGGCTAACCAGTGAGCGAGCAAAATGAAAACTCGTGATGGCAAGCGAGCGTGCAGTGTGAACAGTGCGCGGAAAGCGGCTAAACAGAGACAACACACAAAGCGGCCGGCTTCCGTCCACATCAAACCGCACGAATGGTGGTCCGGCTCGGCCGATGCGGCGTGCAGAAGAAGGGAAGCGCCGTCGACGTAACATTAACTTGAATTAACGTTGTTAATTAGCTGTTAATGCGAGGTAATGCTGCGTGTGTTCCGGAAACGTTTTGCACTGGCAAGAGACGGGATGAAGTGTACTATGTGTTGAAATGATGATTACTGCTGCGTGGTTTTAAGTTTAACCACTGTCAATGTGAATAACCCAATAAAATTACATGCCGAAAAATACAGAGCTTTAGCACTGTAAACAAAATTAATAGCACTTAATGTCGAATTTTGGCTTTCACCAGTGAAAATGCAACCGTGAAAACAGCGTGAGAGCCGCATGCGATAATTAATATTGCTGCTTAAAACCTGCCAAACACCAGTAAGTCAGTACACTAATGTTATCAGTATTTTCCGTGTATGATCTGTTTTTATTTATAAAGTTATAAACTGATGTTTTTTTAAAGGACAATTTGCGCGCTAATTGATGTTAAATTCCAGGTGGCCGCTGTTTGGCCGCCCAGCTCTTCCAGACGTCGCTGCCGTCTGCATGACCTATTTTTGCTTCCGCTCTGCCTGTTTGCACACGGGCGCTATATAGTTCCGTAACGTCTGATAGTTTCTCTTTAACTCTCAACTGCCTGAATCATTCCAGATTTGTCATTTGAGCTCTCTTGCGTTATTCGTTGTTGTTTACCTCCCACCCACCCTACAAGGTGGCATTGACTGTAACTGTATTCTTATCAATTAAAGAGAAAAGGCAGTCGGGCATAGAAGGGATGTCGGAAACTCGTGGTGGTGAGGTCCGCCTGCACCGACTCCGATTTCGCACTTGCCCCCATACGCCGACCTGCTCGCTCTCAGATACCGCAACATGACGCTTGCTTCCGAATTACCAACAAAGATGCACTGTTAGCGGCACACCGAATTTAATTAAGCGGTTTTTTGTTTGTGTAATGGTGAGAGTTTGCGGTTTAATTTTCTCAAGTTGGGGCTCAATTCTAAATATTCTATTATACTGTACGTGCTGTAAAGGAGAAAATGCTTCTTTCTTGTAATATTTCCCTAACTTTGCTTCTATAACCATAAATACTGACTTCCCAAGGATGCAAAGTAAGTTTCAGGGAAAAACATTCTAGCGGTTTTTTCAAAAATCATTTCAGCCGAAAACATTTGCAAACCATTACATAAACACGGCGACAGTAATTTATTGATACAAGATTTCTAAAGTATTATAAATAGCATCATAAGCCGCAAACGAGCATCATAGCCGAAAAAAATAGCCGAAATCGAGCATCATAAACTGCGTCCCGATGGCACACAAGTCCTCCATGCAAGCCGTCTTTCTTCCAGAATGGCCAGAGTACGAGACCGCTGTGATGTATGCTGACTCCGTGGCATGAGCACAACACGGCATCGACCTCCCTTAACATCCCGCGCATTGAACCCAACAGGCTGTTCATCTCAAGCAAACGCCAGGTGGCACTGCAACGTAGTCTCCGCCTGCAGGCACACAAAACACGCAAGCAGTATTAATGTTTTGCCGTGGCCACATAAAGCGGCAAGAGATTCTTTGCCGTCTAGCATCCGCAGTCTCGACATAACGATTTCTGGTGGGACGATAATTAGTATATTCCGATCCGACAATACTGCTGCAATGTGGACGCCTACATGCATCGCTGTGGCGCTGACCTTTACGTATTCCACTGGATTGCCGTCTCATCCGGTGGAACATCGAACCGTCGACGTAGATACATTCGCCGAAGACGTAAGTTGACATCCCTGTGTACACAAAGTCCGTCTCGAGGAATTTATTCGAATATATTTTGACCATGTAGTAAAGCCAGTGTATTAGCATTTTTTTTGCGCCGCTGATGTGAATATGCTATGAATGCTGCTTGACCTCTTACTACGTTATCCGCACTTGTACACGTTGCAGGTGCTTGCGCAAATATTTCTTCCATTGCCACCGGTTTACAGCAGCGGCAGCAAGCTGAATATTCCACGAAGTCGCCACACCGGCTTCGGCCGTTCAGCGTACTTAATGAGCAACCGTAAAGGGGCTCTTGCACGACCTACCGTAGAGGCGCTCTTCACAGCCGCCGAAATAATCCCATCCGTCGTAAGGAAGAGCCAGCTTATCCCATTAGTCTTTCCAGAAGAACCCAACCAGCTGGGCAGAGAAATGATGGATGAAGAGGAATTCCTGCCGAAGGTCTAGCCAGGATGGTCACCGAGACGGTGTTTGCCCCATCAAACCCCATCCCGGTTAGTGATACCGAAGACATCTCAGCCAATCAGCGGGGCAACAGTCTTAACATGGGAATGCGCCCAGGCGGTCTTTTCCAGGGCGGACCATCTGCAGTACCAGGGCAGCCCCTGACGGAGAAGCATCCGAATCCTCCAGGACGGTTACTTCAAAAACTGGTGCCAGTCCAGCCGAAGAGCTTCGATAGTCCCCGCTTTTTCGTTGGCGGCGGCATGGCTCCCAAGCTTGATCGAAGCGAATTCGCTCAGCTGAATGCCGGAAGAATTTCCACCGCGGTGTTCCACGACACGCCGGACGTAACTTTTGGACGGATTCCCACCGACCTGCCGGGACAGATAGCGGACCGCATTTCCTTTTCGTTGGCGTCTGACCAGGAACGCGTCTTCGCGGTACCATCCTCTCGTAAGTACCGTGGAATCAACCCCGCAGCGGTTCCCCTGACATCCCCGGGTGTCCAACGAAAGTTTTTCCAGGCAACAGAATTACCGAGATCGGTGAATATTTTCAAGATCATGCCGTTTTTTAGCATGCTGATTGGCGGTCGGCCTACTTTACCAGGGGTTCCCGAGGACGGAGCTAAGCCAGTGACCGATGAGGGCGCTGACCGGTACGCTGACGCAAACACGGATTGGTTGTTCCTTCCGCCGACAATTCCTGCCCGCAGCGTTAATTCCATCGGTGGGCCAGAAACTTTCTCGGGGCCCCGTAGTATGTTACCAGCCGCAGATGATGATGGAGTCCTTCCCGTGCCCCTTCCAGGAACTGAAGGAGCGTCTATGCTGAATAGCATGGCGTCACCGATTCTTCCCACTGTCTCTGAATCCCAACAGGACCTACTCCCTTTGATGCCGTCCGATGAACTACTTACCTCGGATAAGAGAACGGATCCGACCACATCTCAGCCGGTGTCTTACGGTATTCGTGCCGACGGTGATGACCCCACCCGATTACCTGGTAACACTATGATCAGCGATATGCTCCTTCCGGAAGACCCACCTTCCGAAGAGTTGCACCCCACCAGAGACCGCCCCAGGAGAACTTCCCGCAACGACCTGTTACCACGTGTCTGGATGGCGTCGGGCATGGTTGCGGGATCTCTTCCGACCAAGCTCCCGGCCGCAACTGACGGTAAGGGTTATAGCAGCGCTGCAGAACTGTCCACCGGACCGCACGTGTCGTTGAGGTATCCGCTGATGGCCAGTGGCACTGCATCACGGGCGTCCGGGAGCCTGTCGGTCCTGCTCAAGCCGGTGAGAGTACTGCAGGAGGACGATAGCGCAGGCAGTGAGGACTATCCTGGATTGGACGTACGGAACAGACGGAAATCCGCGGCGAACGGCAGGATGGCGTGCCGGGAATGGGAGTTATGTAAAGCGGTGCAGGCCGGATACTTCCCTTATTCGACGCTCTCTGGGCAGAGCGAAACACTGTAGGTGTCCACTGTCCTGGAAACTGACGATAACGAAGTTATGGTATTATTAATAAATATACTGATTGCATTGAAATCTTAAAACTTAAATGACATAAAAGAACCGCGCCAATCAGGGCAGCCATCCAAAAGGAGGCAACATACTGCTTTTGGGCAATTCCGAAGCTGAGGTGTAGAACTTGTGAGTCATCCAGGGAAAAAGCAACAGTGGAAAACACTCAGCCCAACCGAACGGCAAGCAGAACCAGCCAAACCGCAGCCGCTTACTGCGATGCCACGCAGCGTCTCTTGCCAGCGTAGCAAGTACTACAAAGAAAAAACAAAACTTATATGTGCATGTAGTGTTCTCCAGCAATATCAGAATATTTCAGTGCGGGAAACAGCAGTACAATTAATGCAAGAGGTCACAAAATCATTGTTCTGGTGCTTTTTTAACGTACCATATGTTACAGGGACACTGGGACGTACCTGAACCACATGGAAAGCACAACCGGCTACCGCCAAGTTGTAGTGTGTTGCGCATTGAGTAATCGCGGGATCAGCAAACCATGCACGAGCTATTACCGTGCGAAATGCCTCAAGGTCAAAAACAAGTACGCGACTACGACGATCTGACAACTGCGAACGATGCATGACGATATGCCGCAACACGAGATTCCGAGAAGACGGGAAGCCTGCTGGTTTACCGAATGGCCACCATCTTAACCCGTTCTGACGCTTTATCGTTCAACGCCAGTAAACTGTTTATGCCGTATACGTCGTTTGCTATGTCAGTTCTGTTTGCACTTCTGTAGTCGATCGCGATTCACGAGCGTTCAGGCGCCACAGGGAACTTTTAAATATTGAATAATAAGCTGAGCGCATTGTACGTCGTTAACACGCTTAGTAATACGGTTAATGTTGCACTGGTTTTGGCTAATAATGCAAGGAGGAAGAAATTGTAGCCTCATTCACTTTACATTTTCGCGATGCTTCTACTGTAAAAACGCCACATTATGCCAGCGCACTACACACTAGTCAATATACGCGGGGATGTCAGCCAGCGAATCCACAAAATTTCCTGTACAGAGTACTTGCTGCCCTCAGCCGGCAGGAATGTGACGTTGCGGCTGTACACGGAGCTTATGTACCTCGCGCCCATTTAGCCATATGCACTGCCGCAACGTCACTCTCCACCCGGCTGGCGGCAGCCAGTACAGGGATTATATAAATACGCTGCTGACATCTTTGCAGCTAATAGATATGAACGAAGGCCTTTCGCAGAATCTTGAATATGGCAAAAAGGTCACCGGTTATTTTAATCGTAGTAGAACTAAAGAAGAATTGTCTTTACCATTACGGGAACATTTTCATTCACCATTTAAATTCGACACAAGTTACATACACAACAGTGGTAAACCAAATGAGTATGGGACTATCGACAGGTGCTCGTTCTGCTGTTACTACGCAGCCTAATTACATGAAGTGCGAACTATGTATAATCATAGGTACTTTGATAACTACGCTTCTTTTAAAACTGATAGCATTGCCGGCATAAACTAAACGTTGCCGTTGAATCAATGTCAGTATCGAGTCGGACATCAGCTCGCCTTGCCTGTCACCCAAACCTGTGACCTTTGGCGCGTCCGGCCCGTCTCACTGAGCGTCCAGCATGGAGAAGAAGCTGCTGCGTTTTTTCCGGCCCACGTAGCACCCACAGCGGGTGTATCGTCCGTTGCACCACGTGACGTAGGGCTGATTGCTGGCACACATGTCGTAGTCGTCGGTGCAGCAGGCACACCCGTCACCGTTAACGGTGCCGCAGCGGCCGGAGACCAGGGCGGTCAGGCCGACCAGCAGTACGCACAAGATCAGGAGGGCGCGCATGATGTAGCCGGGAAGGGAAGGCGACGTCGTAGTGAGCGGAGAAAAGCGGTGCACACAACCAGACGATGTGCGGCCGTGAGTAGATAGAATATAGAGCTACTCCTCGGTGAATGCGCAATTTAACAGGATTTTATTGCCGTATGAAATTATGAATTCACTCTGGTGGTGGCCCTTTAAATACCCGCGCGCAAGCACCGTTTTCCGTCCCTGCAAGCTGCTCGCCGTCCAGGCAATTTGCTCTGTGACTCGATCACGCGCCCATTACCGTGATGTTATGTAATACGTCCAACCTGCTTCAGCTTAGAATTTTTTAACAAATACGTATTATTCATACTGACGTGTTTATCCGCGTACGACCCAGCTCCATGATTGTCGCATATCTTTGCTACGATCACGCGCCCATTCCCGTGATGTTATGCAATATTATGTTAAACCTGTTTCAGCTTAGAATCTACGTTCATTTTGACGTACTTAACCACGTACGAACCCTTCGCTATGACGGACGCCTGCATGCCTTTGGAGTGATTTATAATTGGTGTCCTGTGTACATACCGGTTAATTGTGTAAATCACCGATCAGGCGCAGTTTTCGTTGAACCGGTATTGTGTAATAAAACTTGAGACGTTAAAAAAACTTGCCACTGTTTCGTATTGTTTACCGTTAATTTTTCTTAAAACGAGTTTTCAGATGACCATACTGTGATTGACGGTCTTACTGCTGCTGTAGCGCAGCTTAACAGATGAATGTCGAGCGATTTGGAAAGCGGCCACGGCCGTTCCTGCAGTTAATGTGGCCGTCTGCCATTACGTAACGGGCAAGGAATTTTAAGTAACACATCCGCGACGGCATTAATTGCGTAAGAAAGCCATAATTGCCGCAGGGTAACCCAAGCTTATTAGTGACTCAGTCTGTTTTCTTGGCCACCGTATTATAAAACGCCATTAAAATTTAGCGGGTACTCTTAACACTGTTCCTACCTGAAGAAATCTATAGCAGTATTTTTTCTTCGCCTGGTTGGTTTTTTGAACTTCTTTCGTTATCCACTACGTGACTGCACTTTAGTGGTCAAATCAAAACGCAATGCATAAACATAAGAAGAAACACATCAGACTATAACAGAAAAATTTCGTTTAGTTTATCCAGCCCTTCCATCGTGCCCAGCACTGAAGCCGCATTTATCCACTACGTCGTATCCATAGGATAAAGCAAAACCCAGCAGAAGCGAAATATTACTGTGGTTTGAGATAATGTTGGCATAGAATGCGGTGCTGCATGTTTTAATCAATTTGTTTGTGACCTTTCTTCAATTCTGCTTCGAAAGTGCGCCTTTCTGTGCTTATTGCTTTGTGGATCGTTCTACCCTCTCCGCTTCTGTCACTTTTCAATTTTCCCACGATAGGTGGAAAACGCGTAAAATCGCGTAGTTGGTTTGTGCTAAATGAAAAAATTCTGCAATGAAATTATGTCGTAGTATCCTAGCGCCGATATACATAATGTAACTACGACAAAATGTGGTGATACTTGAACCGGTTTTGCGGATATACGTTTGCACTAGCACAGCTAAGCGAGGCATCGGATAACTGCCAAAAGGGATCTCTGGAATACAACGGGAGCAGATAACTGCTAAACGGGATCTCAGGGATCAAAACGGGAAACGAGTTCAGACAGATCTGTGCGCCTATTTATTCTGCTAAAATGGGCCGTAAGCATCCCTTTGCGCGTGTTGGTCCTTTGGCTCATGGACCGGATAAGATGTTGGCCCATGAAAGCTGGCCCCCTAACAATGGGGTGCGTGAGCGGATGTTCGCCCCTAAGGAGGGCTAGCAGCCTGTACAGTATTTACTGTTTAAATGTTCGATCATTTTGGTTAGTTTCTTTAGCGCAAACCTATTATTACTTAAACTGGCTAATGCCGAATTAAAGAAACTGCTTAACGCGTATGAAAGTAATTGCCGATGCGTAAGGATACGCTCATTCATCGCAACCGCCTCAATCCGAAGTGTATTTAAACGGTTAACTTCATTTCAACTGACTAGTGTAACCTTTCCTTTCGGTTCTTTCGTTCACTTCATCCAAAAACTACGGTTTTGCTGCAGGTGCATTGCAGGACCAGAGAGAATAATTCTGTGGAGAGAAGAGGAGGAGAGACACTTTGGTCGCTGGGCTTCCGGTTGTCGAGACTAGAATGCCAGATACCGATTTCTCAGGTCACTCAAACAATAACATCTTCGCCTAGTCCATGTCAAATAAACACGAGACTTCGAAGTTGCTACTTAAGAACGTCCCCCATGTTCCGTAGATGGCCTTATGGACCGTTGTCGGCGAATTTAAAGACTGATACAGAAATGATTATACGTTTAAGGCGTGTTTTCTGTCATATTTCATAATTATTGTGTATCAAAACTTGACTGCATAGTGCTTGAGGGAAAAGAAAATTACTGTATCTGAACTTGGATAATATTTTGTACTATCTGGAGTGTCTCCTGCCCGATGATGTTATTATAGTGTTGGCCTGGTTGAGTGATTTTATTGCCCTAGAACAGTCAACATGGGCCATGCGACTGGATAGCGTCGTACCGGAGCTTAGTTCCCAGTAAAGGTCATTCACCAGTAACCACAAAAACCATCAGTAGATTACAGATTTTGACATTATGCTAAGCTGCTTTGAAGCATCGCACAATGTAAAGTAACAGTAAGCGTTAAGAAACCTGCCGGAATAAAAGCTGACAATAAGTTCCATCAACTGATAAAAGCCGATAAACAATAACCGTCTGTGGCTGTGGCTCGTGAGGAAAGTATAAACATTGTGCTTAAATTCTATGTCATCCAGGCTGGCTAATGCTTGGACCTATACAAGTCATTGTAAACCTCTAGAAAAGCAAAAACAGTTCATCGAGATTGCGACTGCACTCGACTGTACCAAGAACACAGGCAGCGTTGCCCCGTTGTATTTCTAAACTGCAACGCTGCAACAAAAACTGCTTCGCACGGCTTTCTCCAGTCTGCTCCCGAATACGTTTGGCCAGATCCGAGATAAAACCACTAGTGCTTGGTCCACAGGATCCCATAGTTTCGAAAGCAAAAGGCTGTACAATGTATCGATCCCTCAACTTCTCATATTTTCCCAGTTTTCGAATCTCAGCGGCTTCCGCGGCAGCGCCAGGGCGGTCAGAAGTTTGGCCAATATATGTTGCCGCTAGCGTGTCAGCTACAGTGACATCCCATACTAATGGTTTTCCATATTTCCAAGGATACAGGGTCATGCCATCTGGTCGTTTTCCAGTTTCCTTATCAAGTCCGGGAGGTTCCAAAATGGCGGATATTTTCGCAGATCCACACGCCCGCTGAACTATGTTGTTGAGCGCGCTGTGGCGCCGGATTCGTCCTGCACTTTTCTTACAGCAAAGGCCATGATGACCGTACCTGTCAACCATTTCGCCACAACGGCATATGTGCTCATTACAAATAAAAGCACCTAAGCGTAAAGCCACAGCCACTCGTAAACTGACATCATCAAGAAGGTTTCCTAAACTGGACACAGGCAGCGCCGACAACCATGCAGAAGACTCTTTTGTAGACAGGGCCAACAAGCGAGCTTTAGCGATAACGTCGGCATTGTCCACTAAGAGACGGCGCATTTTGTCGTACATCACACCGGTCCACGCTGACTGGAAACGACGGCTCGGCATAGGCGGTGGGTCTTCTCCAAGTTTCTCCTGATAAACCTTAACCACATTTTCTCTAGGGCTTTGACCAGTATCCGGGACAATCTCACAGACCAGAGGATCCGTAGCATAACACGAAGATAGATATGCAGGCAACGCTACATCCTCCGCCCTACAAAGGCCGATTCCTCCAAGGCGATCAGGTAAAATCGCTTGTCGCCACACGGTGTCGGACATTTCTACATTCGTAATTTCTTCCGCTTTTCTCCTCACGGTATCGTCAAACAGGCGCAGTTTATCTGGACACTTCCAACACGGGGCGCACCTAAGAGTAAACAACAATCTCGGCAGCGAAAGGCTGTTCTTCAAAAGGAACAATGACTGATGCGCTGGCAACACACCGAGCAGATCAGTCAGACGTCGTATCTGACCGATCTTTCCATCTAACACTCGCCCAATCGCCAAATCAGTAAGTGGTGCACCAAGGAGGTCCAGCTGCTCCGACGAAACCAGCAGAATCTCAGGTGAAATAGAGTGAAAACTTTCAATGACTTCTTTCCGCTCGGATTCAGTGCCACCAAAAACGTGCAGCTCGCATTTCGACAAATTCAACTGCAAGCCGAGTGTGCGTGCTTTTCCCAATATTGTCATGAAATCTCCCAAAACGGTATCCGGATCCCCGCCGCACGTGCCGTCATCCAAAAACCAGATGTTTAATTCGGACTGTAATTCTCTGGACAAATTAGCCGAGATCAAACAAAACAGTAACGGGCCAAGTGGATCCCCTTGCTGGATACCATGGGCAGAGGCAATAATTTGGTCTCCACAAAACAATGACGACGGAGTGCTGTATGCCGCGGAGATAAACGCATAATATTGAGGAAGAACTTCCGCCACTTTCTTCAACATCACATCTCTGCGGACCGTGTTAAAAGCGTTAGCAAAGTCAAGTTTTAACACAACCTGTACTTCAGAACAGTCATCCCGTACAAATTTACGAGCAGCATGTACGGCCGCTTCTGCACCTCCACGAGTACCATAACCGAGCTGCACGGGACGAAATAGTTCTCCCATCTCATCTTGAACGCGTCGGCTGATAACTTTTCCAAATAGCCGCCGCAATGTGCAACCGCAAGCTATGGGACGAATACCCCCGTTTTTCTTTAATAGAGGCGTCAACATTCCACCAAAGAACACTCTCTTAGCCGCCGCAGGATCTTTCCGGATAGAGCTAGGTTGGCCAGTTTGGACAGGGCCGACAGTAAGGACTCCCTGTTTCTCCAGGCACACTCACCATCTCCTTCAAATGCTGCGGTCGAAGACCATCAGGTCCAGCTGATGAGCCTGCAGGAAAAGATTTAACAGCGACAAGAATCTCATTCGGAGACACATTGTGAGCAACAGGTTGAACGTCACAGACCGTTGTATCCAGATCCGCTGGTGGATCTGGATGTTTATCACGTAACGCCTTAATAACGTCTCCCGTCAGCGCAGCAACCGTATCTTCAGACGTCAGAACTTTAACAGCACCGCTGATGTCACCATCCTGCAGTTTGGCATTCACCAGTTTGCGTAAGGTTTCATCAGTAGTCTTCTTCTTGCTGGTCTTATTACGGACAGTGTTAGGGAGAGGAGAATCTGCAGATGTGCCGCGCAAATTCGCCTTCACCGACGCAGCTAGGGAAGGTCCTCGTCCAGCTTTGGCAGGGGGAGCGTGGAGGTTGTCTAGTGGAAACAGCAACAATTTGGCCCAAGACTCTTCGTCATTCTTACTGCACACGTCATTGACTGCAGCCGTGTAGGATTCTGCGCAGGCGCGCCTGGCTCCTGCTGGAATGTGACGAAGAATGGGGTGCTTTTTCCGAGCTGCAAATATACGGGTTTCGATGGTCTCCAAAACTACTGTAGGAGCGGATGATCCAGGAAGTTGTGGTGCTTGACGGAGATTCTTCGCTTGAGCAGTACGACAAATATCAGAGGCCCGATGTCTGCTCAATCCGTGCTTAGTCGCACACACTTTTCCACACAGATCACAAACGAAAGACATAATGACATGATACTTCACTCACAAGATTTACTTTTCAATGGTAGTGCAACAAATTACAAAAATATGAAATTTCAAATCATCTAATAACCTAAACCAGACGGCGATGTAAGGAAAGAGAATATCCATTGCGCGGACACAAGAGTTAAATCGCTCACAGCATGCGCACGTTACGTGCATGCGCAGGAGGTGATGACGTCCCTGGCTGAAGGGAATGTCTTGTCCGAAACGGGGAAATGGTACCGCCATGGACGGGTCTGCTCATTGGGAATTACGCGGAACACGAGCGGGAGCCGGAATGGGAGACGGAGCAGAGGCTGGAACAAGGCTACAGACTGCGCATGCCGCGCAATGAGCGCTGCCTGCATGGCAGAGCGGTGAGCCGGGAAGACACTCAACCAAGCACTGTACTTGTGCTTGGACGGAGCAGGAGGCAACCGCGCACATGAGGATCATGAAGGAGATCGCCCGGGCCATGATGCACGGTCAAGGACTGTTAGACTGCCGTCGGTATGATATGCTGCTACGCGAAGCGTCGCTAAAACTGCGGAGGGGGCTGGCAGACAGAACAGGTAGATGACTGCAGACTCAACTGTGATGCGGATTGCGGAGTATCTTTACCCGTCAATTTATATTGCAGGTCGCGTTTGTTTTCTTGAGAATAGATGCTAAGTACTTTAGGTACTGTTGGCATGCACTGGGGATTATCCCGTTTCCGCAGAAATTACTACAGTCGCCGACTATGTTTCTCTTGTCTCTCACACCGAACGTTTTCACCGACATTTCAAAGCCTGACACTTAATGATAAGTGTTAGCTTGGCTTAATGCTTTCGCTATAGCTTTGCATAATTTTTTGGCAAATCATTTGCTGCTTTATGTTGAGTTGTTTACTAGTTTCTTGCAGCCAGCTTAGCATTGTTATGGTAATGATAGCCATTATATTTTATCTTTGGTGCTGTCTACACGGACACTTCTTGGCCGACATTTCAAAAGTGTTTTCCTTAACGTCGCACATGGGGTTATTTAGGAGTTAGGACAGGTTTGTTTTAGTGTTTTCAAAGAGATTTTTCTGGCGAGACATGCCGCGGACAAAGTGATTCCGCGAATCATTAGTCTAAATAATGCCATTCCGTCAACATATGCTTATTGTGTCAGCCGAGCCGCCTGGTCAGCCGAGCCGTCTCGCACGGTCTCTGCGTTTGCGAAATGTCGTTCCATACCACGGTCCGGTGTGCCAGAATCGCGTAGCCTACGGTGCGATCCGTCGCTACCTCACCGACGATACTCATAATTGGGCACGTTTTGCACTCCTGCTCCAAGGTCAACTCCTCGAGCTCACAGTTGTATGTAGTGTACGTTTTCGTAGAGTACCAGGCTCCTTCGCCCTTCGGCTCTGCTGAAAAAGACCAGACACTACCACGCTTCACCATCGAATTCACACCGCATTTGAACGTGTTAGCCATGACCCAACAATCTCCCGCTGCTAACGGCTTCTCCTTGGAGGACTTCGTCGTGTCCCTCCAGCCCAGAAATCCTTCCTCGATGTGCAAGGTCTCCTCCCAGGCCCGACAGCTGAAGCCTTGGAACACGGTCCGGGCTTTATCTTCTGTATAGATGTCATACTTGACCGGGGTGAACTTGACGGACGACATGTTGGTCCGGCATTGCTCGTAGCGCTCAAAACTGACGACACCGACATGTCGTGGTGAAGAGCAGTCGCAGACAGCCACCTCCAGTGCTGCGACTAAGGGCATAAACAACAACACCAACAGCAGCAAGCCGTAAAAGTGCTTGTATGAGCATGGGTCATACCGGTCCGGTGCCCTGCGCTCACGGCCCGAACGCCGCTGTTCCGTTTCCGAGTTTTCCCGAGTCACCGGCGCGAGCATCTCCGCCTCCGCCGTTGTCACTACCTCAGTCACCACAGGGGCCTGTACCGCTGGCACCACAGGGGCCGCAATTTCAGGGGCGATCAGGGTGGTAGACGGCTCCTCTTCCGCCACCGTGTCCGTGACCTCGTCTTGGTCCACCAGCTGCTTGGGACGCGCGACAGGAATCCATCCTTCGCCGTCCTCATCCTCGGAGTCAACGAACATCTCGTTGCGATCCTTGAACAACTTCATTTTTGACACGTGGGTAACGAAAACGTTCCTTCGCTTCCGGATCCCGCAAGTTTCCACTTCGTAATTCACGGGCGACGTTTGCCTAAGCACTCGGTAGGGCCCATAAAAACGACTCAGTAACTTGGTCGCCTTACCGCGCTTTCCGGCAGGGTTGAACACCAAAACGTAATCCCCGTCTTTGTACGTCACTTCCGGGTGATCGTCGTGGGCGTGGAGGTAGTTCTGCTTCCCCTCAATGCGCGCATTCGCTTTTGCATGAAGCGCCTCCATCCGCTCTCCGACATCATACACGAACGCATCCGCTACCGTTGGAAAGGCGATGTCGACCGGCAGCGTCGGCTCCCTTCCGTACAGTAACTTGAACGGCGATTCTTTCGTCGTGTCGTGCTTACTGGTGTTAGTCGCGAACACCACGAACGGCAGCACCTCGTCCCAGGTGCGCTGCTCAGCGTCTATGAACTTCGACATCATATGCGCCAGCGTCTGATTGTACCTTTCGCACGAGCCGTTGGTTTGTGGCATATATCCGCTCGTCGTAACGCGCTTCACTTCCAGTACCTTGTAAAGGTCGCTTGTCAGCTGATTGACAAACGGTGTCCCCTGATCGCTCAAGATCCTCAAGGGAAACGAATGCTGCAGAAACACTTCAAAAACCAAGAATTTCGCCACTGTCATCGCACTCTGCACCGGAAATGCGCCTGCCAATACATATTTAGTGAAAAGGTCAGTCACTACCAATATATATTGGTTTCCACGCTTGGATCTGGGCAACGGCCCCAGAAAATCCATGGCTAACATCTCGAACGGCCGCTCCGGACAGAACGACTGGATCGGTCCGGCCGCCTTCGTCGTTAACCGGTTCCGCGCCTGGCACGGTGCACAAGACGCCACATACTGCTCCGTAAAGTTGATCGCTTGAGGCCAGAAGAACCGCTTCCGCACTCGGTCCCAGGTCCGGGCAAAACCGAGATGTCCTCCCATCGGGTCATCGTGGCAGAACGCCAGTACCTCAAAACGTAACGTTTTCGGAACGGCTAGCAGTAAATGTTTTTCACCTTGACTCTTCCACTCGCGATAGAGCAACCCGTCCTTCACGGCGTAAACTTTCTGAACGCTCTTGACCGAGTCCATCTGCTCCATCACCTCCTGAATCCAAGGGTCATTGGACTGTGCCTCCAACATTGCTTGCGTGGTGGGGCCCGTCTCCTCACGTACCGCCATCACTGCCAGCACACCGGTTTCCGTAGCCGGTGGGTACCGAGACAGACAGTCTCCATCGGCATGCTTCGCTCCACTCTTGTGTCGAATCACCAGGTCGAACTCTTGGAGTCGAAGTGCCCAACGGACCAAGCGACCACTGGGAGACTGAATGTTCACCAACCAACACAAACTATGGTGGTCAGTGATGACCGTCACAACCCGACCTAACAGATAGTAACGAAACTTATCTGCGGTCCAGACGATTCCCAAACACTCCCGCTCCGTGGTGCTGTAGTTCCGCTCCGCGGCGTTCAAGCGGCGGCTCCCATAAGCCAGCACACGCAAGACACCGTCCGCATCCTGCTGCAGAATGACCACTCCGATGGCGTATCTACTGGCGTCCGGGTGGATCTCCACCGGTCGCGATACGTCAAAGTGTCCAAGCACCGGCGACGAGACGAGACGGTTCTTCAACGCCTCGAATGCCCCTTCCTGCAGCTGCTCCCAGACGAACGGCACGTCCTTCTTCGTCAGCTCGTACAGCGGACAGGCCAGCGCCGCATAGTCTTTGATGAAACGCCGGTAATAACCGGTTAAACCGAGAAACGCACGCACGGCTTTAAGATTTGCGGGAACCGGGAAATCGGTAATGGCACGTACCTTTTCAGGGTCGGCCACCACGCCTTCCCGCGTCACCGTAAATCCCAGTACGTTGACTGTCGCTTTTAGAAAATGACACTTCTCCGGTTTGAACATTAACTCGATCTCCCGACATCGAGAAAACAGCGCCTCCAATACTTCTTCATGCTCCTTCAACGTAAACGTCGCGATGATCACATCATCCAGGTAGACCGCCACGACGCCCCGCACGATGAGGTCCCCCACGATTGTTGTCATGGTACGCTGGAAGTACGATGGAGCGTTCTTGAGCCCAAAGCACAGTACCTCGTACTCGTAGAACCCCATTGGCGACTGGAAGGCTGTCAACGGCTTCGACTCCTCCGCTAATGGCATCTGCCAGTAACCGGATACCAAGTCCAACGTGGAGATATACCGTTTGCCAGACAACGCCTGCAAACAATCGTCCACACGCGGCAGAGGGTACTTATCAGAAATCGTTATACTGTTAACACCCCTGACGTCATTGCACAGGCGCCAGCTACGCCCATGATCCTTCCGCGCTAAGACAATCGGACTAGAACAGTCACTGCGGGACGGTCTAATCACCCCCTTGTCAATCATAGCGCTAATTTGCCGGTTAATCTCCTCGACTTCCGGCGGTGCATACCGGTACTGATTCCGAAACTTCGGCTTCGTACCCGGCATCAGGTCAATACGGAACGGCTCTACCTTAGCCTGACCCATCTTACGGCCCTCAGTATGAAAAAGGTCACCGTACTTCTCAATCAACTTAGTTATCCGACTCACCCCGTCGGTCGTATCAGCGTCTCCAATGTCAAAATCCGAAACGGGACGGCGTGGCCAATCGTACTCCCACATCGCCAGCTCATCCTCCGGTACATCCGGATCGCCATACTTCATAAGCTGATTCACTCGTGGCGTCGTCAGCATGGATCCCTGATCCGCGGTCATCCGGGCGCACAGGGCCGCCGCCGGCATCATGACCGCATCCCGGGTGTGGCCGCAGGTATCCGTCACCACCGTGTCACCACATCCCCCATGCGTGACCGTGGTACCATCCTGTCCCACGTACAAGAGCGCCGCATTGCACACATCCACCAGCCATCCGGTTTGGCGCAGGAAGTTGCATCCCAGTACGCACTCGTATCCCTCGTTGCTGACATTGTCAAAAACACAAAAAGCCACCGGCAGCTTCTGGTTTGCTACCGCAACATCGAGTACGATCTTACCCGTTGTACGGATCGTACTCCCGTCACCCAGTTCCACAGGCATCATCAGTGGATCCGGCATGACATCCAGCTTCCTCTCCAGGAAACCCCGGCTTACAACGGAGAGGTTGGCACCAGTGTCCACCAAGGCACGTGCAGCCTGTCCGTTCAAGGTCACATCAACACACATGTGCGTTCCGAGCACAGCGTGACGGCCTTCGCCCCCATCTCCAGGCGTACGCATCATTGTGTAGAGAGGACGCTTTCGTGGAATCTTTTCCCACAAGCCGAAGGAGTCCTTGCCGATCTCATACTTATACGGTAAAAAGTCACCGTCGCGAAGCGGTCGCAACTCTTTATCGCAATGAAACTTGACACCCACACCGATCAATTCGTCTTCATCTTCCACTTTGACTTGCAATAAATTATTAGCTTGCACACCGACGCTAACTGTACTGACCGTGTAAGCCGGCGTCCGTTTGCGTGCTTGCATGCCGTGCATCTCCATTCACTGAAGCGGTGCTGTCAGCTGATCCACGCCGATTACGCGTTTCACACACCGAGTCGGCATAAATGCTGATCGTATCGGACTCGTCGGTTGACTGCACTTCGTCCTCCATCTCGGCCTGATACACGCGCAGCTCATGCGCCGCAGTAGTGTCCAAAGGTCGGCTTCGGAATGGCGTGCATTCAATACAACCAGGACACGTACCTGCTGACAACGCAACCGGGTATCCGTCTAGCATACGGTACACATACCCACACGACGTTGCCCCATACGCCGCACAGCCGGCATCCGCCCCGGACATAGCGGCCAGCGTGGCTGCCGCCTCCCATGTCGGGTCGTCCCTGCCTGTACGGTCCAATGCGCTTCCGCGCATCATCCGGAGTCCCGCCCTCGGCGCGGCTCCCTTGGCATCTTTAGCCCGCTTCGGACAATCCCGAAGCAAATGTTCCGTTGATCCGCAGTTCCAGCAGGACTTATCTTTACGTGGTGTGGTCAATGCGTTTCCGGTTCGTGCCGGTCTCGATGCGTCGCTGTGGTTGGAATCAGCAGCGGTTAACTTAGAATGAAATTCTGGCTTACCGCCACTTCGACGGAAATGGTTGGTGGCACGCTGATCCGCCGCCTGCTGTCGTTGGTTGGCTTGCTCCTCCCTCCGTAAGGACTGCGCCGCCTTCTGCAGGTCCGCGAAGAATCCTTGAGGCGTCTTGGCTGCGGAGGTGACTAACATCTTGTCGATCTCCGGGTAAAGTCCGTTCCGCAGCTTCAGGAGGACGTCCAGGTCATCCATTTTGGAATCGTATTCATAACATAGGTCAACCATGTCATTGTAATAATCTTCAACGGATTCGTTCTTCTGTAACTTACGCTGAGAAATCTTCAGCTTCAGTTGCAACTTCCAATCTTCAGTCTGGAAGCGTGCCAGGAGGGCGTCCCTGAAGGCCTTCCACGTCGTGTAGGGCTTTGTCCCGTCCTCCGACACAGTGTTGTACCACTGACCCGCATGGCCAGTCAAGTACACGGGGACTTGCGTCAGCTGCTTCGCATCGTCCCACTCCAACGCCTGCGCCACCGTCCGGAACCTACGAACCCACTGCGCAACATTCTCACCGGCTTTCCCGGTGAACACCGGCGGTCGCACGTCCGTCGCTGCCGCGAGCGATCCCATCACGTCCGCCAACTCCCGGGCATTCACAGAGAATGCCGGAGCCTGCCGTCCACCTGATACGTCTGGCTTCGCCATCGTAGTCTCCACAGGCGGCAAGTCGTCCACAATCGGTTTATCCTCGTCGTCCGAAAATAGGTTGCCCAGGGGGTCAGTCTCCCCCTTTACTGACATAAGACTACGCCCACGAAACCACCGTACTAAAGGTCACGGTATTCAAACTGCTTTCGGCACCAAATGATACGCTTACACTATCCGTAAGGCGTAATGAATATCGGGTTTTAGCCACTTTAATAATACTCAGCTAAGAACTAACAAATAACAAGTAAACATGAGCTTATATAACGGCCTAAGCCGGAAATAACAGGACATCCAGGGAAACGACCTAATATCAGACAATCACTCATTGTCAGTACATCTGGCTCACAAGGGCATGAGAAAGGCAAAAACATGGACTATGACCATAGAATAAACGCACACATGACCATAGGTACATGACCATAGGGAAAAACATATATGACCATAGGTCACATTACTACATGAGTAATCCGGTTATGTAACAGGCCATCAATGTTACAAAAAGTGCATTCGCAAAATACTACTTAAAATGATATAAATTCAAACGTTAAAAAAACCAGCCAAAATCATTATCGCCGTCAAAAATCTTAGGACGCATATTCAAGGTGCCCAAAACAGCAGAAGCATTTCCTTTCACTACAGCTAGACTAAATCTCTGCTTCAAAAATGCAGTAGAAAGAGGTTTCCTTGTCACGTCGCGAATCTTTCTGCCAGTCTTGTTTCTTCTGCAGACCGCCATGGTAGCACGTCGGTCTGCTTGCCAACAACTGCTGACATCGAAGGTGTAGTGTACGTAGCGGCGTAAAACGCCAATAAGAATCCATGCAAAAAATTTGCATGTTTGCATCGCTTTCCAAAAGCAATGCTCACAATCACGATCACACTAAGGCCTCGTCCCGAATTCAAAGCGAATCTCGTTGCGATACAGCAACTCCACCTCGCGAGGTGGCTTTGCGTACCGTATCTGTAGGCGTGGCCACTGCATACAGCCACCTCGTGCGGTTGAGCAACCGTACCATAACGAGATGCGCTTCGAATTCGGGACAAGGCCTAAGTCTTATACCGTGGGCACGCGGAAAGCCGCTGGCCGTGGATGTTACCTGCGTGGACACGCTGGCGGCCTCGTATATCGACCGCACGCCGGCGCAGCAGCCGAACGCCGGCGCAGCAGCCGAACTCACGGAAAGGAAGAAACTTTCGAAACACGCCTGGCTGCAACCAAGATACGATTTTGCCTTCGAAATTTACGGACCTTTGGGAGACGGAACAACTGAACACGATTTGAATTGACAGTTCAGCAGTGTTTCTTTCTTCGTAGTAATCGTCGAATATAGTCGTGTATTTGTTGACCATTTTTTTAGCGGTATATCTGTGCTATTTTGGCGTGATCAACAGCACAGCACAGCATAAACACCCAGCACAAGCGCAGAAATCAGCTGAATACGGATTCTGGAGGTCTTGCTCAGCATTTAGTAACTTTGCTCTTGAGGACGTTGTGCCCGGTAAGTTTCCATGTGTCGTAAGCCAGAACCCCGCATGCCGGGTTGCCCTTGATGCCCAGGCCACACACTAACATCTTCGATCCATCAATGTCCAGCAACGACGAGACCTCCTTGAATTTACTGCTCAAAGCATCCCCGATATCCAGGGGCTGGCCTTAGGGACCGTTGCCGGGGAATTTGAAGATCTGCGCCTTCCGAGCAGCATCGGTATCTGCGTCGAAAGATTCAAGATAATCCCGACTGACAAAATACAGCATTTAAATAGCATCTTGAAGAAAAAACATACAGTATACGTAGCGGTCTCCGGCGGCGGTCAGCGTCTGCGGACCGGCGTTTGGATCGGGCTGGGCACGGCCCACGCGGCAGCCGACCTTTTTCGAGTTTGCCGGTTCGTAGCAAATGCCGGCCGTTCCATCATTCTACATAACAAATATGGCCGACTAAGTCTAACAAATGTTTCCTGATCTTCGAAAAATTACTTACCTTAGCAATGCCGATTTCCTGTGGATTCGGCACGAACATCCAGTGCTTAATCGGACCGGTGGGCGCACCGACCCAGCGCTTCCCCAACGGCTCCGGCTTCCCAACCGGCGTGATTTTCCCTTCCCCGTCCACTTTGATCTGCGTGACACAGTCACCTTGGAAGGCGTACACCGGTGAAGCGGCGTCTTTTGGATGCAGACGGACAATCTGGTCGATGGGTTTCTCGCAGATGGACGGGCAGGTGTTGGGCATGCTGATGATGGGCGCAGAGATGTGGTCCTCAATCCCCACGACGTTCTTGCCCATCTCAATCCAGTAGATGCCCTTATCGCCTTTCTTGGTGCCCCAGGAATTGGCTACCATCCAGTATGGGACTTTGTTGGCGTCCTTGCACCAACCGATCAAGCGGATAGCGTGCCCGGCGAGGTTCGCGGCACCGGCTGATGGCCCGCGGTAGGCACCTGGTAAAAGTCATCACTGATTAACAGACCTAAGTATTAACTGGTAAGCCGGTTTATTTAGCGCGCTTTTGAATTCCTTTGGACCACTGGAGAGGTTCTGAGTACACGTAATTCAAACGATTTGCACGGCTCACGTACCCGTTTCTGGCTTCCAGTTCTCCAGATCGCTGAAGGTCGTAATGGACGACGTGATGGGCCCGTTGGTCATGAGGTCCGTCTGCATCTGCTTCACGTTGGCCTTGATCTGCTCCGATGTCGCCGCCGGACCGCCCGTGTAGGTAGTCCAGTAGGTATCGACTATTAAAGGTCAATAACGCGTTAGTCAAGTTCAGTATGGTTGAATCACTCCAGATGCAACGTACTGAAGAAGGTGTCTTGTTCCGGCTTCTTCTTGAAGTCGCCGTTGGAGCAGCTCTTGCTGCACGTCAGCGGGATGGACTCGGAGTACGGCATGGGCTTGACAGGGTAGGGCAGACAGCCCTGTTTGCTGTCGTAGTTGCCGCCGCTTACGGCCCCGTAGATGCACATCTGCTTGTAGGCGTTGGCCGGATCGTTGCCGAATAAGCAGCTACAGGATTCAGCGTGCTGTGTCAGTGCAATTTGAATCGGGATTGTCGGCACTTACTTGTCCATGGCGTTGCGGGATAAATCCGTGCAAGTAGCCACATTCACTGCTGATATGAAGGTCTGGTTCTTTTCGCCGGATGCGATGCAAAGCCGATCGGAGACAACGCTAGCCGTCGACACAGCCTACATAAGCAAATATGCAATTGCACGCTGAATCTACTTATATTGTCAACTTGACATTAATTTCGTGAGATTTCGCGGACACTTTATTTAGTCAGGTAAAATTCAATTTTGCATAAGGATGTTCGTGTCATTATGCGATTTATTTGGTTACTAATTAAACTAACCATTGGCTTGTCAGGTAACAATTAACCCGATAATTTAAATGAGTATAATAATTTGCGCTAGTTTGTTATTGGTCAAGTAAAATTAATATTGATTAGTGCGAGTTCATTTTTGAGTAGGTAACTAATTTAACTCAATTTTTGTTAATGAGTAATAAGGCAGAATGTAAAAGTTTTCCTGCTTACCCAGCATGTTCCACAGTTGCCTTGGTTGCGAATATCAGCGATGCTCTTGCATTTGGGCCAATTCTTGCGTGCATCAAAACACTCCGGAATGGCGGCGCCACGGTGCAGCGGTGTCTCATGAAACTGCGGTAACTGCTTGGCGGCTTTCCCGGTTATTTTCACCACACCCGCTGGCGGCAGTGTCGCCGTTCTAAACAATAAGAAGTCGCAGTTGTTCGTCAAACACAGGCTGACAAAGCCACCGTAAATACCGAATTTCATATCGCTCTTACGTTAATCCAATGCATAGTAAAATGGCCAGGAAATGAGCTGCTATTAACTTTAGCATTTTGCGTTAAATCGATGGACTGTTTGGCAAATTCCCACTGACACTTATGAAATATTGCGGCGTTTCCGGTGTGAGATGACTGCGTATTATGTGCATGCACAGTAACAGTTGAGGCTGTTACGAATGGGCGACGTGGTGTGGCACGGAAAAAAAGGGGAAATCAGCAGTTAAAAACCGCGTTTACTGGCAGAAAGTCAGTGTAGATCAAGTGTTTATGTTGACCTCTCGGTTGACTCAGCATACGATGAATGGAAAACGGGGTGAGATCGGTAAACGGCTAAACGCTGTAAGGGCTTTCAACAGCATATTATGAGGCTGAAGAGGACACTCGTTTGGTTGCATTTACAGGGGTCCTTTATAATAATTTATTGCTCCCCAGCCTCCCCTTATGGAATGGAACTGTGGTAGGCTCGCTTGATCGCTGTTATATAAACAATACTGTCAGATTTTCACTGGAATTCGTATTGATAAACAAAAGATCAAAACTAGGAAAATGTAGCTTCGGCGTAATGGTAACCGCATCCCTTTTGGGTGCGATGCCTGTTAGGAAATTACTGTAAATTGTTATTACTATAACGTAACTGTATGTTATGATTCACTTCATTTAACACTGACCGTGAGATCATCGTAAACAGGGTATTCCAACGATGGGATTTTATTTGGGTATTTTGTTTTCAGCCAATTGGGCTGCTTCATCGTAGGGGTTGGCAACGCCACAGGTCAAAGGCTCTCGAGCGGGGCGTAAAACGTCAGCTTGCGCGATTTCCGCATTTATCCGATACAATAGCGAATTTTAGATTTCACAAAACAAGTTCCGTCCAGTTCGACTTGCGGGTAGAAGTTGGCGTTACGGGTCGATTTACGTCCGTTCGCGACGTAAGGCGCCGTAACCTAACGTCGTTGGCTGACGCGTAAAAACTATCTGCCTTGCGTGGATCTGTGCAACGGCTCAGCCGTATGGCTAAGCGATAAGCCAGCGCATGCTGCCTGTGGATCTTTTTTATGTGCTCTAACCGCCTCCCCGAGAGCAGGTTGGTCACGCTCTCGGCACTCTCGACTCGATTTATTTTTCAGCTGTGCGTCACTGCAAGTGTGCATCCGTACAAGCATTTTAAACGCTGTTCAATCTGGTAACGTACTGTTTATGTGACGCAGTAGTTTCTAGTGGACGGAGCCTGAACCACGTGAAATCTAAAATTCCCTAATCGTTGCCGCTGCCCGACGACTGTTGATAATATCGCTGCAACACTAAATTTCCTTAATTCCTTTCAACTAGAGAAGCCTGTCAAAATAATTTTATGTTAAGTGTCTTGTCTTGCATGTCTTGCGAGTTCTACGCGCATTGCTATCACGATTAAATACCATCTAGCATAAATTTTTCTGCCAAATTTATGTTCGTCCGCTGTTTATGCTAGGATAGGATAGGTGTCCCGTTTACACTTGGATAGAGATAAATTGTCCAAACCTGTAGGTTCAGAAGGCTTCAGTCTTTTATATCAGCAATGGAGATGCAGTTTCCATTTGCTGTAGCTGTTCACGGCTGTTGTGGATCACAGGAACATGGTCTTCTTCGTCCGGTAACCGTACAAATCACTAATACCCAGCGGCGCAACGAGATCAAAGGTTTGGGGTGGGCCACAAGTACTGGCTTTGGGGTAGGCCGTTCCCATAGACTCTATGCTATAACTTTTCGTTTGGGGGGGCCATGGCCCCCAAATTATTAGGCTCGTTACGCCACTGCTAATACCGTACTGTACAATACACCTGCGACTGAAGTGCCGCCTGTTGTTCTGTGATACAGATGACAGGCATTTGCTGCTGAACGATATCATTTGGGAGACCAACGATGGAAGCACCGCATTTAATAGATTTGTTCCGGTATCCGGTTACCTCGCACCGAGCGGCTACTGTCCCAACAACGGACAAAAGATTCCTTACGAACTAACAGGATTCAGTGAGCACGGCAGTTGACAGACCTATTTTCTGTAATGTTGCCCTGTTATTTCAAGTTCCCTGTCGCTAATTTCTGGCTGGCAACAATGTCATTCATTCACTAAGAATAACTAATCGAAGGAGATTGACCGATCCAATTCTGTCGAAATACGGTATCGTCGAGAAATCAGGAGACGCTTTTTATACCTACTGTTGCGTGCGCATGCACATCTGCGAGGCTCAGTTATTGCGTTGTCAGTAGCCAATGGCAAGCGATTTTGCTGTTTTCAGAAATTCAGCGTACAGTACTATTTTGCTGTCTTCTATTAACTTTCAGGCATCGAGCAAAGAAAGACACAAGGAACAGCTTTTCTGGAGTCCATAGCCTTCTTCCATGTTTCCGTTACTTTTAAAAGCAACGTTTCACACGAATGACCGTTACGAAAACCAGACTGATTTTAGGACAAAATGTCAAAACGTTTTAAGGACTTGGCGAATCGTAACTGAGCGACTTTTTCAAACACTATCGACAAATTACAGTACATAACAACGATATCGGCCTCAGTTCATCTGCCGATTTTGGTTGAGCGCACTTGGGCATAGCTATCACATCCGCCTTTTTGAAAATATCTGGAAAGATATTTTTCTTAAAGCACTGATTAGTCAAGTGCGTCATGGGTTCGATCAGTAAAGGAAATATTTCGTGCAAGAGTTTATGTGGGATGCCGTTAGGCCCTGCGCATTTTCTCTTGCTCAGTATGCTGGAAAAAGCTTCCGCTACGGTAACAGCAGTTACTTGCTCGAATTCAAACACCGGTGACGTAGGTGCTGTAGGAACAGGAATAACCGCCGGCGGGTGCGGACTGCCATGTTCGCCCATTTTTGCAAACTCGCGGTTCAAATCATTGGGATCTATATATATAATATATATTATATATATATCAGTGTGATTAGGGCCTTATACGCTGCTACCGCTAGTGAATTGTAAAGCGTTGCACACTAGCATAGAATCTGGTAAGTTAGCACAAGGAAACGTAAGCTCGTCATCTACTCTAGTTTTGCCGGGTCCCACATTTGCAGTGATCGCCAAGGCGGCATCGCATATAAATCAACGAGCCGGTTTTATGTTTGCGTACTTCTTCGCACTGAACTCATCTGGGGCTGTGTCAATTTAGCAAACACTGCCGATTAAAGAATAAAGAGCACAACTTTGACCTGTGCTATCTGTGCAGTGGGGAGTATGTAAAATGCCAGGGACTGGGATCATAACTAGAGTTTTCTGATTTTTCGTGGACAATGTCCCGTAGAGCTGCGGTAACTGCTTGGTGGCCTGCCCGATCATCTTCCCCACACCCGCTGTAAGCAGTGTCGCCGATCTAAACGACAAGAAAGTAGCTGTCGTCCATCACACTTATCCATCGGGCTGATAAACTGCGCGAAATGGTACTTAGCAACCTGCTAGAATTTCGTGTTGTATTTTGCGGCGTCGCCCTTGTTATACAGAAGCCATACTTCGGATACATCGCTCAGATTGCACACAATCGTTTTCCGTGGTGTGTCATACAGTCGGTGGAGGTCAACAGTTTTTCGGATCTGGTGGATCGGATCTGCGCGCTTTGTCCCTGGAGAGGTATTATAGCGACTGTTGTTAATTTCAAATAATTAAACCTTTATTTGATTGGTCAGTCTGTTTGAGATGAGATTGGTGAGTCACAGCTGGCTAGTGTTTTTCGGTGTGTTTTTCGGCTAATCAGTCAGTGATTGAGCAACTTCCTGAATTCTAATAAATTGGTCCATGGGCAACCTGTCGATCGATCGTTCGTTTTGACCTGTCGTTTCTCATCCACCCTTTTTCCTTCATCCAGAGAGAACAGTAAGATCTATCCTGATTGCTGTGAGCTGTAATTGTCTTGAGATTAGACCACCAACATCGGTCTGTTTAGCGGCGTGGCGCGGCGTGTAGCCAACCCACAGTAAACGGGAGGCCCATCATCAGCCTTCCGTTGTAGTATGAAGGTCTGGAAGAGGTTAGAAAACAACATTGTGGCGCGAGTTTTGCCTGGTACCGACGCTGTGTTATCCAGAAATTCTTGCCTTATAAGAGTCGAGCTGATGGCAGCATTTACAAGATACACCTTATAAAAGAACCATGGAATCTGGAGGTGGGAAGAGCGGCAGGATAGTTCTGCTAACAAAATATTTAGGAGAGGTTAACAGATTTGAGCAGAAATTTGAAAGAAGGTACAGAACTGGCTTCGAGAATTTTGGGGTTAACAGCAAAAATTTTATGAAGAATTCGTATTAGCCGCACTTCCACATCGATCCGGGCCGGCTGTCAACACTGTTGCTGTCGCTTGACCTTGTTAATGGTATTGTAATTTGTATGCTTATTTTTCAGTTTACCGTTTCTCAAATGGTAACCATAGTGTGGCCCTGTAAGACAGGCAAAAAAATATTCGTATAATTTCCTGTCGCCACATCCTGGCATTATTTTTGTGTAGGTGCATCAGTGCATAAGCAGCAATACTCATATAAATCGCAGCATAACAAACACCGCTGTCGCTTGAAGGAAGCATTTTACAGAGTGAAAAACAACCCTGTCAATAATGCGCTCTTATAAAATTTATATGGGAAATGGATGACGAACCGCAGCTAATAATCACGAGGCTTTGAACTGAACAACTGAATGTAAAGCATTACAATGTAGCACGTTACGCTTGAATTACACCAGATCGTTATTTCCGCTTATTGATCAGCTGCACTGATCAGGAATACCGTATAAAACGTGCAAGTACACAGCCAGGTACTAATTACTATTCAGAATAATGTTGATTACGAAACATCGCGGTGGCGCTGAAGTTCTGAACCGAATAAGTACGAATTACCCGGCGATTCTGTTGCATTCAGTATTTGTACGCGTACCGGCGTACGTACACCGTAAGTGCACAGGAAATTGTCATTTTTCACAATGCTCAAAATAATATCACCACAAGGTGCGTACTACGTACCGCATTGAAACCGTTGCTGTGTTTGCTACACTGATGTGAGTATTACGCGAATCCCACTACACTTATCACTTATCGACGCAATTTAACAACTCCAGATTTCATACTCCTACATGGTGTTTTAGGGATACCGAATCAATATCAATAATCTGTAAGATTTACACCGGAAGCGAAGCAACTGAAGAAGTTTTGCGGGCAACAGGCAGATTTTAACCGGAAGACCGCAATTTCCCACGGAATTAAGGCAATATGATTGTGTCAATACTCCTGGCTGCCTTGGCATTACTGAGCTTTCTGGACCCGTTGTCATCGCAGGATTCCAGCTGTAAGAAGCCCTTATAAGTTTGTACCGTATAGTGTTTCGCATTTTTCTGAGGCGAACTGCAGGAAATCCGCGATATCTGTTTTGCGCAGAATTCTGTTGACCCAGACGTATTTTTTCTGTGTAGCGGGCACCCAGTTCCCCAGTTTCCCCAGTGGTGCTGGCACGAAATGCAGCGGATCCGGATGCCAGGTGACCGGCAGTGCGGCCTCGTCCGGGACGCCCGGATCGCAGGTACCCAAATACCAATACAGCAGCTAGCCTGCCTAATTAAACTGGCATCAGCACAAGAAATTTACGTAATAAAATGATGCAATTAAATTGTTTTGGGAAAAAAGAAATTTGTTGAACGTTTCGCTGATTTCATAAACTAAGAAAGGCATTTTTTATGCGAGCTGTAAGTTATATACCTGGGCCTACACCACTAAGCCATGACACTACAATATTTCTCGTTTTACAAGCAGTTTCTCGTTTTACAAGCAGTTTTTACTCATCCCGGAGCTGAACGGAAAACTGACCGGCATGGCATTCCGTGTACCGGTTCCTGATGTCAGCGTTGTGGACCTGACTGTGCGCCTGAACAAAGAGGCATCTTATGAGGAAATCAGCGCAGCTGTTAAATTTTCATGTTGTAAAATTATGTTGTTTTAAGCTGTTGCATAACCGTTGTACCACAGGTAATAAACGTACCAGCAGTTTGCCGGTAGACATTTTGAGAACTTATCGAACACCCTTCTTTTAAATTGGCTAACAAGTTTTGTGCAATTAAATCAATGTTTGATTTCTATTATAGTTACACGTCTGTCGCATATAGGAAGCGCGTTCTTGTAAAATTATCTCTCTCATGCAATCTCTTTTTCCCATGCATACGAAAAATACTCTCAACAACTTTCTAACGACAGCTGTACTCGTGATCTGCACTATATAATTATAATGCAGATAGTCCTTTCCCATGTTAATTATAATTCCTTCCTATGTTAATTGGGACAAATTCTTCATTTGATCATGTTTGTTGAGCGAAGGTCGCCTTGTACATATTGGGAAATTAAATCACATGCAGATAAAGTTTACTATGCAAAACTATAATCTTGTCGCGAAAGCGTTTCTAATGTTGAAAACCTTGCAGTATACAGGTTACTATTGATTTTTAAGTTTTTAGCCACATAATTGTTTGTTTTTCCGTTCAGAACGGGTTCAGCCCGGCGGACACGGCCAACTCCATCCGGCGCATCCAGGAGGGCATGGGCGCCAACATCAACAATCTTTTCGGCCCGGCACCGGCCGCCGTGTCCGTGCAACGTCCACAGCCCAGTCCGTCCGGCGGCGAAGTGCCCCGCGTGATCCAGATCACCGACCAGGGATCCGGAAATCGCAGTCCCACCGTCGCGTCCGCGTCAACGACATCCGCCGGTTTCTTGCTCTTGACATTTGCTTTCTTTGCTTGTCTGCTGTGAGCAGAATCTCCATAATCAAAATACCGACTTAAGAATACGGTTAAAAAGTGTTTATCTTTTAACTTGTTCGGTAAAAGCGTTCGCTTTGGATTGCTACGATACTAATGACGCTCATGATATGAAAATTATTATTAAGCTAGTTTCTCTTAGTTCCTGATTTGCTCCTTCGATTTTTATTGCTTATACAACATGAAGTCGATGTTTTTACCCGAACTCTCGCTTTTTCCGGTGTGTATAAAAATTCATCATTTATTTCCGGCATGAATTACTTGCACATTCGCGACAAACCGGATCCAGTGGGCCGCCTTGCGGCGGATTATTCTGCATATTAACGAGTGTATATACTCGGTATACCGCCAATACATTCCGCTATTCGAGCAAGTCGATGTGTAATTCCGAGTTCCAACACAACAATTCCCGTCAGACAACCGTCGCCGACACTAGCTAATTACCAGCAGCAAAAAACTTAGCCGAATTATTGCTTCGTCATGCGGCGGTATCAAAAACTAGCGAAGCAGCAGTTATGCTTATTGCCTGCACCTCCAGTTAACGACCTGTACAGTTGCGACCAGCTATTGCTGAGTTATTTGTTTATGTGTTTTCCACGAGATTAACGCGATTAAGAACCAAAAATGCCGTTGTATGCCGTTGTCCTTCTTTCGCTAGTGTGTAGTGTGGAATTTTTATCAGCCCAAGATTTCGGTTCCGGGAATGGCAACAGTAGGTTTCGAAAGAATTTTGTTTTAGTTAACAAAAAATTAGTGCACGAAAAATTCGCGGTGGGAAGAGATATTATACAGTTCATCTGTAGTTATCATTATCGATATTAGTTTTAACCAGGAACGCTAATACGGTTTAAAGGGATTTTGCAGAATATTGTACAGCTAGAAACAGCAAAAGCGGTATAGTGGTACTCCATTACGATCGAAGATTATTACTATTAAGCCTTATTAAATTATTGCAAGTGCTGCCTGTAGCCTGTAGGTACACGAGCAATACAGTGTTTTCTGACTCCATTTGATTATATTTATTGCCGTATTATTATTACCAATAAGATAAAATCTGTTGGTGTTAGTGCTTGTAATAAATCACTCTACGTATTTTTCGATTCAATTAATTGCAAGAAATCCTAGAAAATTAATTTCGAACGCGAGCATTATAACTTACGGAATATTATGTGCATATACATACTGTATACCTAAATTGCAGAATAAAAAATAATTTCGTAATAAATAACCGGTAAATAATTTTAAATGCCGTAATACGTGTTCAGTTAAATAATTTTAATTATAAGTTGTTAAAGAAGTCATGCAGGGCGGCGCTCCGATGCACTATAAGACTGGGAGCTAAATGGGTTTCTTCATTTTTCACTGGCAGTTCAGCGTGTTGCTATACCGGTTCTATCCGACCCATTTATCTGCAACTATAATTATTATTATGTGACAGTATCTGCTGGTATATGTACATACAGAGACATGTGCGTGTAGCAGCCTGTCTGGGCTTTTTCTAGCAAACGGCAACCTGCAGCCGGTTGGCTTTCAGCCCATGAGTTTCCAGCCCCTACCCGGCTTCGGCTCCTCCGCATCGTCACCGGTGGCCGGCAGCGCGCCAGTGTCCGGTGGCAGCAGCAGCGGAAGCGCCCCGTCACCTTCACGCGGCAGTAGTATTAACAGCAACACCGACGACTGCTCGTCCTCCCGGTCTGGCTGTGCGGCGCCCTCGCCGTCCTCCTCCAGCTCCCGATCGCGAGGACCCTCACAAGTAAGACAGCCTGGCGTCCGTTACTAATTTGTGTTTGTGTGGTTTTTTTTTGTTATTAATTATTTATTTTGTGCGGTTGTAGGGCGGAAGCAGCAGCCCGGGGGCGTCCGCGCCCTCCCCCTCCCTCGCCGGCACCTCGCAGTCCGGCTCCTTCGGCGACCACATCCGGCAGACCATCCAGGACCAGCTCAACTTCCAGTTCAACAAGGCCGTCCAGGGAACCGGGACTCCCAGCTTCGGCAGTGGCACGTCTCGCAGCGACAATTAATTCTTGTTTTTTGATCAATGCAGTGGATGCTTAAGAGCGTCTCAAGATCTTACAATTATTTATAACATTTATTTTAACTATGCCGAATAACCGCTTTGGGCATACGCTGCACTCTCTCAACTATGCGCTTATTCGTTATCGGGTGTTCCAATCAGACATTTGTTATTTCAATACTCGATGTAGGCGTTTTGCGTTTCCAAGAAGTACAAAATCGTGACCAACTGGTGCTAAAGAAAATGCAAGTGAAAGTGTTGCTTTCCCTTTCTGCGCGCCTTCATTAATTATGCGGTGGTGCGGTGAGCCATTTTCCACGAAAAGACCACTGGTCAGTCGCAGCGCACAGAGCGAGAAAATAAATTGCATTGTTGTGCACACATGGCGCGGGATCGATGCATGGGGAAAGGCAAAGAGAATGCATTCGGGGAAAATTTCACCATTAATCTTCAGAGGAATATTTTAAGAGAGACGGCCGACGCATCTGCTGTCCTTAAAACGCTGCCCAAAAAGCGCTCTCCATCGCACATGCAAATAAATCGTCAAGTGAGAGACGACGCAGACGACCATGAGGCAGACAGCGAGAGGAGAGAGAAAGAAAGAGAAGCTGAATGGAGACAGCAAAGGAAGGCAGTGAGTCATTTGGTCAGTCGTCTTTTTGTTCCGCTCAGCAAGTCAGCGCAGCGCACTGGCTAAAAATCAGCGCACACGTCTGTACGAAACAGCCATAAAGGTTTTAAAAAATTAAAGATAGTTTGTAATTATTATAGTCATTAATGCTGCACGATAAACAGCCGGATTTACCGGCACATAAACAGCTAAAAAATGCCCTAGTAAAGCTGTTAAATGTGTAAAAACATTTTAATAAAAATACAATTTAATGGAGATAATTTCTGCTTTTTAAACTGATCAATTCAGGAAGAGCAAATTTTTAATTAAGTTGCCGGCGTTTTTTGAGGGAATTTAGGGCAAATTATCTACGCAAGCAATTTTTCTGGGTTTATATGCAAAGTTGGGTTGTTAAGTTTGGTTTGCCGAGAATGAGCAAACATTCCAGTAAGCAAACGATTCAGGAGAGAGAGAAAGGAAAAAGAGAGACGCTGGAAATCTTAAAGATTTCAAGGTCGGTTGGATTGGGTTTGGTCGTTAACGCAGCGCCAGAGTGTGTGTGTGTGTGTGTGCTGCGGTTATAATTAGCAAATGCAAATTCAACAGCTCACATGCCTCGCTCTATTGTCCCTCCTGGCGCAGTGTCTAAAGAACGCAGCGCAGAAACGAAAAGTTGGTTGGTTTGGAAAAAGTCTCCAGTGAGGAGGAATATATGAATGAGGGCCGGTCTTACTGTAACAGCATTCTGCGTTTTAATTAGTCTTTCTCTCTAAACGCATCCAATAATTCCAATTGCACTCTGACCCATATATGCGCCTCGGTCCAGTCTTTTTTGCCCTGCTTCTTTCCAACTCGCGTTTCCCCCATCCACAGCAGACAAAGAGCAACTTTTCAAGGACAGCCTGAACTCAGTGTGCAGTCAGCATTGATTGCATGTTCTGTATCGTGGCTGGCCGTTTTAAATTAACATTTTCGGTTGGAGGAAGAAAATCGATAGATGGATGCTGTAATGGTATGAGCGCATCCTCATCGATCCGCTTTTGCAGCAATATCGTGACCAGTGTCCAGTTGTGTGCGCATAGGAGAGCAGCAGCGGGTCAAAGTTTAATTTGTAAACGGCAATTTGAAGAGTTGACCGCTGGTCAATGCGCAGAATCTCCGGCAATCCACCGCCTTTTCCAAGAAGTTCGGTACAGCGGCGTTTGGAGAATGTTTGTCAACGCGGGACAAACGGCTTAAGACATTCCGCCATCCACCGGCATTCCGTCGTCCATTTTAAAGCCGCCAATCAGCGCCTAGTCTCAAGTTTAAAGCAGGCCGGAATAGAAGAGACATGTAAGTTAATACGCTTTACCGTTTACCGTCATTTCCCTTAGTACCTATTTTGTGGGAATTTTTATTAGAATTACTTGTACGAGTACCGTTTGTAATTAATATTTGTGTTGTAATGCAATGATTAAACTGTTAAAATTGCAAATGTTCTTAAGAAAAATCTGGAATTGAAATCCTAAAGTGCTACAAAAGTCAAGTTAATTCGTTAAGTTTGCAATTTTACAGACACTCGCTTTGCAGCGATATGTGCAAGGTGCTGTATACACTACGCTGTACAATTATACATCATATATTATATTTTAAAATTCAGCAACTTTACAGAAATGTAAAAAATCTGCATTTTGAAGAAAGTTCTTGTGAATTAATTTTTCCTGCTTCACACTTGCATGTACTGCAATAGCGCTGTTTAGTGTTTATTCCTGGTAAAATCAGTAAAAACTCGGGAATTACCGTTAAATGCAGCGGTTAAGATTCCACCGTGACCGCCCGCTGTGCAGTAGCATAATTTATTCCAATTAATCATATTCGTACCATTCAGTAATTTATTTTCATCAAACCGATGCGCAGACACTCATAAACATAGTCTGTGCGTATTCAACAATTATTTAGGACAGCATTCGTGGCCACCGGACACTTGCTAAGCAGCTACCGTCATTTTTTGAACGGTTGCATTTTAAACTTATCGGTAAAAATCGCCGAATAAAACTGAAAATGAAATGCAGAATGTGATAAGAAATTAAACACTTGTTTGAAAGCACTATAGCCAATTGAGCCGGCAGTGACCCATTGTAAAATGAGCCGCTGATCCGTGACCTTTGGGCGTCGATTACGCGTATTGTGTAAGCGGGGCAAGATAAACTTTATCCTGCCCGGCCATTCATCGGCGCTGACCCCTGGCGCAGCAGCCCATCCGGCGGCCAGCGTCCAGAGGGAAGACGGGATGCGCTGGGCAGCCTGTCCAGTGCCTAATGCAGCCTGGGTCATCGATTTTGAGTTGAAACTTTTTCTGCTCCACTGCCAAATTACTTGATGGATTAAAATTGCACTCCAGCCGCGGGACGAGAGACTGGAGAGGGACAAGGCCAACGGGACAATTGCGCATCCCTTCCTCCTTCCCTCTCCCCGATTTACAGTTATTCTACACACATGCAGGCGCTCTCACACACAAGTGGCGCAATGGGCCATCGCATCATTCGCATCCCCGACTGACCACTGTCCGACTTTCCACTCTAAAATAAATCAGCTCACTGTGCAGTTGGAGCTGTCACAGCTTTACATTGCACTTGTGCACGCAAATGGCTAATCGATTTCTCTCTATGCAGAACAACGAGTACGCTGCAATTAACTTGGATTACTTTTGGCCATAAAACGAAGCTTCTATTACAATTCAATATTTTTAAAACAGAAGACAACAAAATATGTGGTGCACACAAATAAAGAATTTATTAAATAAGTCTTCTACAAATACCTTAAAAGTTAAAAATGCAAAATATTTACTTATTCTATGTAATGTATTTACAATAATTATTACTAAAGAAAAAATTAAAGTACGTCAATATTTATCAACTGCCGTATAAAATTTTATCGGAACTTTGTACACATAAAATACAATTTTTATTAACGCTTAAAGCCGGCTTTTTTAGAGTGTCGTAATTTTTGGCGGTACTGTCAAAATTCCAGTATGACAGTGCGAAAGGGCGTTGTGCTAGAACAGGAATTGGACTGCATTCGCTTTGTTTATTTTTCATTGGAAACACGTGCGATTCCGGTCGAATTCATGCAAGAACGCTGGTCTGGATTCATGGCGCTGGTCAGCCGTTGATTTTAAGCTGCATTTATTGCGCTGCCCTTGGGGGCAACGGGCAAGTGTCAGTTGTAATAAAGGCGCAACGGCAGTCGATCGTCCAGCCGGGCGTTAGGCTGCACTTTGACCATATCTAGCTGACATGGTCATTTAATTTCTTCCCAATCTGTATGCATAACTTGACCCGGGCCACGCTGGACAACGGCCAAATGCCGTAATCAGCTCATACAGCGCACAAGGCGCAATTAAGCCGGCCAAAATCTGCCAGATTTGCCCGCTTTGAAAAATTCACATCCATTACACGTCCGCTCAACTCACCATCACAATAACATTAAAATTCATCATCAGTTTGAAATACGTATATAAAATATTATAAAATAATAATGTGAGTGATTTTGGTTGTTTTTGGAACTTGTAACCGTAGTATGTAATCATTGTTGTTGAACACGAAGGAACCCAATTAAACATTACAGATCCAAATAATAATGTTATTTAAAACTACACTTTTTTCTACATTTTTTTCGCATTGGCATTTAAAAACTTTTTTAATAAATAATTTAAAAATTTATTTTGTTAATAACTGTGTTCAATTGTACGAGGAAATCTGTGCCGGAAATGATGGTATTCACGATGTCTTCCAGGCGAAATTTAAAAAAAAACCTTGCGGATGTTTTTCGAATTGAAAATACCGAATAAATTAAGCGAGCACATTTTTCGAACGCGTTATTTTCCCTCTTCCACTTTCAGTGAAAGCGCCATTTTCCTAACTGCAGTTTTTCTTTGTCTGCCGCCTTGACGAAGAAGACAGACCAGTGTCCAGATGGACTGCAGCAGCGCGTAGTTTTGAGCATTGCACATTTTATCGGCAAGAAGGCGCAAGATTTTTCCACTGAGCCGCGAAGAAACACTGCGCTGCACCGGCTGCACCTTTTTCCGGCATGGCTGCATAAGCTGGACACTGGCGTCACTTTCCCTTTCTCTCGCGTTCCTCAAAAAGCCAGGCACAAAAGACAAAGTTTCTGTCTCATTCAAGGAGTTTTTACTTATCGCGCTGCCATCATCAGCGCCTGAAACGATTTATGTAAATACGCTGCAACTTGCAACGCATATATGCGCAGGATTAATTAAGCGCTTTTTCCAACCGGCAAAGGCGATGGCTGACCAATGGCGTATGAGCGTGCAGTGGTGGTTGGACAGCAAAACGCAGCATAATTTTCTTTACACAAATTGAAATCAGAACAATCGACTATTCCAGTTAGAAATTATTTCTCCCTTACATATGAAAAACATTACAAAAATAAAAAGCGCAAATCAAAAACTTTCATTCTCTTGCAAGGAAGTTATTCAGTCACGTGACTTAATAAATCAGAATTATATTTCAAATTTTGCAACAAATAAGGATTTAAAAATACAATTTTTTTTAATTAGACGAAAAACTGATGTTGTAATTAATTAGATAAATAAAGAATTCAAATGCCGGTTTCGCAGCGGTTTTACGAGAACCGCGCACCCACCACTGCCGACCGCTTCCTTCCGCCGAAACAGCAACAAAGAATTACGCAGTCGGTTCTTTGTCTGCACCACAAAATACCGTGCTAATTTTCCATTTCCTTCAATTTCTTTTGCAAGCATTTGCATGGGATCGGCGTGCATTCTAAAGCCGGCAAATTACGCCGCACTGTAATTAGCGCTTCAGCCTGACACGGTACATTACGTGGTTACGACTTCCGCGTCGCAGTGAAGCACAACGGTGTTTAGTTGAGATTTTACAGTGGTTCGCGCGCTAAAAGCGAGAACATTAAGGAATGTTTATCACCGCACAATAAAACCACGCACACACATACACGATATTCTTGGCAACGGTGGATTTGATTTTTTTAAAATGAACTGCCAAAACCAAGGCAGCTGAATGCGGCAGCGCGACGTAATCGTCGTGTAAACGACAACTCATTAAAAAATCCACAACACCGATTTTTATATTATGCTGGTCATACGACGCGCGCTGCTCGACTGGCGTTTAAAGCCGTGGTATTAAATTTTACACTTAAACTTCGCGTTTTAATGCGGACATCACTTTAACACCGGCAATCTGAACTTTTATGCGCCGCGGTGGACTGCGGCGATACCGGCCTTAATTCCACTGTAAAGAAAGATGAAGAAGGTTTTGTTGATGACTTAAAAAACACTGCCCCGACGCTGTGTGTTAACGGCGATACGTGCCGCCGCGATTGGCCTCGTTGCACAGAAAGACAGATTCATATATCGCGATTTTTTAGTCTTCGAGGCCAGTGCCGACGATTCAGATGAGTGCGGCGGATGCTGATGCCGGCAAAGCATTGTTGTTTAGTTGTTTTCTCATTTTCCATCATCTCTCGCATCTGTAACATATTTTTCCAGTTTGTTGTTTCTGCTCGATTGCCGCTCTGCCAAATGATTATTATTTAAGGTAAGAGCTAGAATCATTAAATTCATGACCTTAAAATAAAATACTTTCTTGGGAAATGTTTGATTTTTGACCAATATATGTAATAAAAGCGGAATTTATCGCAAATTTTAATTAAAGCCGCACTTTTTGTTATTCACAACGAAAAGTGTTTGATGCTGAAACAACATTTCTGGGAATAACAACGGCTTATTGATTTGGGTTTTTCCAATAAATAAAAAAAAGCTAAAATATTAAAAATAAATTTATCATAATTTATATTTCTTTATCCCTGATATTTTCGTTATTTAAATAAGTTTATTGCTGTAAATTGAATTAATAAAAAAAAGCTGATTTACATGATATTTCCGTTTTATAATTAAAATTAAAAACCTTTGTATAAAAATGACAGAATCTCTAACGCGGCCATTAAAGGTTGATTTAAAAGCATTTTAGAAAATTTCTTGAAAATTACTTCACTTAAAATTTGAAAAATTGTTTGAAGTTTCAGGAAATGTAACCGGAATGACCTAATTTAAAAATAACGACCGAATAGTGAGACTGTATAGATTCAATAACGCTTTCAAAAGTCTCGTCGTTTTTAAAAATGACTGAAAACAAAGTGATTCTCTTCTCTGTGTCGTAAGAAACCCGGAAGTTGTCTCTAAATGCAAAGTGATGTTGTTTATGACAAAGCCCGTCACTACTGTCAGTAACGATTGTTTATTGTCATAGCTGAGTAGTCAACCTATTTTTGAAAAATGTCCACCATTTAATTACCTATTTCCAAGATAAAAGCGCTACAATCAAAGAGCCATGTAGGCCGCACGGCGCTAAAATAAATACAAGTCATAGAAAAACCATAGCCGTAAAATGTCAAACACTACACCGTAAAAAAATTGTCCTCGAAATTTTAACGCCAACTGACCGGAATTTTTTGGAAAAGTCTAATTGTCCGGCCGCGATATTCGTGTTCAGCGCATCGAATAACGTCTAAAAAGCCAGTTTCAAGTGATTTTACCGTGTAGTTATCGAATAACGCAGAATAATAATTCGGCAACTCTTACTTGCAACCTACTTCCGCTGATGGGCAGCATCATTTTTTAAAATAATAAGGCCGCAACGCATTTCGTACGTGTTGCGGCTTCGTACGCGTTGTGTACAGTTAGTGGGCGTTGCCCGGATGAGAACGCCGTGGTTTTAAGAAGCGGTTGTTGTTTACGCGTGCTGACATGTTGCTTTTTTAATTTCCCATCTACATTTTTCCACTGCTGGACGCATTAAACAGATGTAGGACTGCGATGAAGGTGGCCTACAAAACACAGCGCCCCGATTGCTATCCGCCGTCGAAACAATGCCAACTCGCCAAAAACGCTGTAAACGACCTCATTTTGGAAAAACACTGCGAGTGACACACAGCGTAGAGTGTGAGTGCTGTTTTACACTGGGTCGCCTCGATTACGCGATGCTGTGGCGAAAACGTGCATCATGGTCATCTTAGTTCCAGTTATTAAATTTATATGTCGCCGTTTAGCGTGTTTGAATTAGGACAGATCGACTTTTTCTCTCCTATTCATGCGAGTGGCGTGAGCACTTGCCATACTTTTTCCACAGGTAGTTTCGGTTTCGCTCATAATGCGCCGCGATGAGGCTGCTCTTGATGGTCATTTTAAAAAAAGCCCGGTATGTATCGCGGCGGTAGGTCAGTAGTGTCAGACTCACTGGCTGGCCCACATTTCACTTTATACGCTTCCATTCAACCAGCGAAGCCGTTGGTCATCTCTCAAAAATCATTGTGTGTCAATCGGTGTTACGGATATGCTTCTACTTTTTTAATTTCATTTTGATCGAGTCGATATTGTGGGGGCGTTTGATTTTGCATTGCTGCTGTCTTCCTTGGATGTGGTAGCTGCTTCTCATACATCGCACGTTGCCGTGTCACGGATACTTTTTTAATTTAAAATTGTGGTGTGCTACATTTTGCGCAGTTGTTATCTTCCTGGGACGTAGTAATTTTTTTCCCATACGTTGCGAATAATTCCCTATATTTAAATTGATTATTTTTGGGATTGGTCATTGCGTATGTCTTTTTTGCGCAGCTGCTGTCTTCCTTGGATGTGGCAACTGTTTCTCATGCATCGTATGGTATTGCGGATACTTTCCTAAATTTTAATTTAATTTAATTACTAGACATTACGGTGTATTTATTTTTGCGCTGCTGTTGCCTTCCTTGGGTGTGTCAGCTGTTTCTCATCATACCAGTACATCGTGCATTAATCTATGGTAGTGACCTTTTCCTTTTCCCACGGTTTGTAGCGTGGGAAAGTCAACGGATTTTCAGTTAAAAACGTTGCTGGATAAGCAAATTCATGGATTTTCTTTTCCAGATTGTTGATCGAACCCTGAAAAAACCAGAATGACGGACTCGGCGCCGCACTTCCCGCGCTACTTCTCCGCCCCCTTCATCGACTGTTTCCCGCCGGGTCTCCACAAATTCACCCCCGCCTCACCGCACCCACCCATCTCTTCTTCCTCAGGTTCTTCCTCACCGCATCATGATGACATCGACACCTCCCCACCGGCGTCCCACCCTCCTCCGGAAGCCGCCGTAGAGTCCCCGGCGTCGTCGTCCTATTCGTCGCGCTCCGACGAGGAGGCGCCCAGCCCCGGTGGGTTGTTGGTGCACCTAGGCTCAAAGCGCCGCAAACAGCACAAACCCATCCGTTGTGACGCGCTGAACCTGAGCAAGGAAACGGTGCTGGAGGACCACCGGGACAGTGATTCCGGTGTGCATGATGGGTCGCCGGCGGCGGTGGATAGTGAGCTGCAGTGGAAGGAGGAGGATGTCGACGCGGAGGAGGTTGATCGGGAACGGCAGTTTTCCAGTGAGTTGGATGGACTGCGAATAGGGCCGGGCGGCGAGTCCCGCGGGGGGTCGTCGCCGGGGTCCACGTCGCCGAATGGAAGGAGGATTCCGGTTCTCACCGGGAATCGAGTGTTTCCAGTAGCCCCGACCGGTAAATTTTATTTTATGAATCAATATAAGGAAAAATGTAGTGTACTTGAATCAATCTGGGATATTTTTTTACATGATATGTTTTTAGTAGTTGATTTGAATAATAATACGCAAATACGTATTTCCCAAGCGTATAGGACCAGAATGCTGAATTTTCGAGCTACAAATTACGTAATTTATTAAATAAATCACGGTTACTTTTCTGTTTTTATCACGGTTACTTTTCGCATTCAGTCATATGATAAATTTTGACGTTTAAATTTTATTGGTTTTGGTTTTTGACGAATTTTGATGAATGGCTTTTGGATGAAGCCCGTACGGCCGTACTGTATATGTATGTACTGGAAAAATTTAAGCAACCAGGTTTTTTAAGCCGGGCTGCAATACCGTAGTGTGGTTGACGACTAACGTTCCATTAGACTTTGACCGGCTGCCGCCAAATTAGACAAAAGCGGCCTTAAGTGAAAAATTAAAAATGTGGTACATCTGCAGCGATTGTACACAGTGCAGTATTAGTGCTGTAGTTTTGACCAGCGGATTATTAACCTTTTGTGTTAACGGCTGTTACATAAGCAGCAAGTGTAAGTGTCACTGCTGACCACAGGGGCCCGCATCTTCAACCCGGACGCCTACTGCACGCTGTGCAGCCGCGAATTCTGCAACAAATACTTCCTCAAGACCCACAAAGCCAACAAACACGGCGTCTACGAACCTGACGACCCCTCGCCCCCGCCGGGAGCCCTCCCAGGGACCCCGGGAGGCCCGCCGCCACAACCCGGCTTCTTTAAACCGGAAGAAACCACGCCCGGCCTCGTCCAGACGGAAGGAGACACCCCCGCCGCCGACATGGAACGCCAGCTTCTGACCAACCAGATCCGGCTGATGTACGCGCAGAACTTCGCCATGCAGCAGCTGCTGCAGCGCGGCGGACCCGTGTTCCCCATGATGCCGCCGTTCGGGCAGCCGCTGATGCCCATGATGCCGCCGTTAGGCGGGGCGGCGTTTTTCCCTCGACCCCCGCCGGAAATGATGCCGCCGACCCCGGAGGTGCCGGTTAAGCGGGAGGAGGTCCCGCCGGAGGTCCCCGGCACGGAGGAGGTCGTGTGCGAGGTGTGCCAGAAGCGGCTGAGTAGCCGCAGCTTTCTGAGGATTCACATGAAGCGGAAACACGGGATGGAGGGCGGGCCCAGGAGCCCGCTGGGAGCCGGGGAACCGAAGAAGCGTTCGCGGAAGAAGGAGAGGAAGGAGACGGTTCAAGAAAGGGCCGACGCATTCCTGAAGAGGAGCGGGATCGCGATGCCTAACGGAAGCGTTAAGGAAGAAGAGCGGGAGAACAACGGATATTTGCAACAACTGCTTTTGGTAAGTGGAAAATGTATGCAAGAAAATATAATAAGAAAAATTAGATTTAATTCTTAAAAATGAAATAATTTTAATAAATTTAAATGCAAAAAAACTTTATAAGTAGGAATTCAATTTAAATAATTTTGCGATTACATTAAATAAACCAGAATTTATTTCGTACAATAAGTACTTAAAAAGTGGGAGTAATTAAAAAGTGGGAGGAAGCGGCTATTTTTCCGCTGAAGTTTTTTTAACTGACAGTGTCTGCAAATCTCGATAAGGAGTGATTCCTTGTATTTGCAGACGTTAAGCATTAAAACCTAAAACCTAACCTTCAGAATTTACTGAGCGCATTTTTTTTAAAACATTATTCTGTCTGAACGTACCATAATTTGTTATTAAAGAGCTACGCAACGGTAAATGCGCTTCCGGTGCGTTAGTGCAACAAGTGTGCGGTGAGCGGCGGTTCCCAAGGCACACACTGTGCGGCGCAGCGGCAATCGGTGTTGATTGTGTGGAGACAAAGTGCGCGCGCGCATACGGCCGCGTGTTGGCCAGATGAACGATACCGGCGCGTCTCCATGTTCTTGACCTTTGCGCCCGCGTACCGTTTGCACTCGCCGCTAACCTTGAAACCGCACCAGTGCTATTCGCAGCTTAGTAATTATGACTAATATCTTCCCAACTCGTTAAAATATCCCCATCACTTGCATATGGATTTTCGATATTGAATAACCAGAACTCAAAGCATGTACGTACGAACCATGTACGCAAATTAATCAAAAATAAAAATTATATTGTGTTCGCCAAATTTCGCACGAAAGTAAGGAAGTAATTTATACCGAAAAATTTGCTAAATTCGCGTGAAAATGAAAATTTAATCGAAATCAGAAAAGAAAAATAAGTACGGGTCTTTAAAAAAAAAGCGAGAAAAAAATAGCAAGTAACATAAAGACGAGCAGCAATAAATACAATTTTCAGAATGTATGCACTTAAACACACGTGTTATTTCTGCGAAACTGCTTACCGCGATCTTTTGATTTTTTGCATAATTCTTTAATGGAAACAGCTGTGTAATTTGTATGTTTATCGGGCATCGTGTAGCGGGAATAGTATCGTTATGTGGATCGGTCACAGCGTGCGTTTGACGGTGACCTTTGGAAAGGGGCCAATCGGCATTCGGCAGGCAGGCGGAAAAATGCAGTTTAATTTCCGAGCGTAAAAATCAGCGCACTGTGGAAAATGCAAGTAGAGCTACTATGTCGTGTGCATGCGCGCGGAAAACTCCGCTTCGCCTCGCGGCGGTGTAACATTTCGAAATGACAGGCCGCTCTCCAAAACAATTTTCCAGCGTCAGTTTTTTAATTCAAAAATATACAGTGTACAACACATTACCGATGAGAGTTTCTCTGATATAAAGAATGGTTGCTCTCCAAGAAATGCATCGTAACAAAAATTGCCGTCGGCATTTTACGAAGTTATGTATTATAACGCCTAAAAAACTTTAAAATATTTATTACGCTGCCCGTAATAAAACAAGAACTGTTAAAAGGGAAGAATAATACGAAATCTGTATAAATTTTTTGTCTTTGTCATAACTTTTTTAATTATAAATTATTTGTTTGCATTGGTAAATTCTTTCCGTAAATTCTAAACCTTTTTCTGTGAAATTCTTCAAAAATATCTGTAAAGAAAAATCCCAGAAAAAAACAGTGAAAAACTTGTGATAAAAATTCAAGAGTATTAAGAATAATTTCAGTGTGGTCTGTATTTTCACCATAATAAGAAATTAGCTAACCCTAATTCGATGATCATATTTTCTCGTTGAATTTATTTAATATCTTCATGACGGATTATATTTCTGTTGATTTTTTTGGCCGAAATTGTAGCGTACATTGACAGATTTAACCGAGTTTAAAAACTTCAACAGAAAAACGTCCAGCGGCGATATTGTGCAACGGATTGTGAAAAACAATTATAAAATTGCTACCGCGATTTGTTGCGCTTTAAAGTGGGTGTGTGGCTGTGAGAACACAGCATTCTAAACTGCAGTGCCGGTAGTTGTTTACCCTTCCCCGCTAAATTATGAGTGTTAAGCAGCGGCGCGTCGGCAAAACGGCAACATTTCCGCTTATCCAACCCGTCGTTGTGTTGATGTTGTTTGTATCGCGCCATCATCATCCCTGCCGGGCACTCACGACGACGCTGATCGCTGTCTTGACAACACACTCTCGTTAGCGGATTTTCCGCATTGTTTCCCGCCACTGCAAATTTTTAAATCCAGCGGATTTTACTTGCACGCGCTCGCATTTTTTTTTAATTATACAAGCTGTGTACGTAATTTGGCCGGTGAAATTTTCAGCACCGGCGCAACGCAAGGTCATTTTCGGTAGATTTCTGATCGACGCTGATGGTGCTGGACCGGCGTGAATAAGCGGCCGTTATCGTTTAATCGCTTTCAGTCTGTCGGATGCCGGGTGTTGTTGGCGCGGGATTACTGGAATGTTTTCTTGTTGTTGTTGACTGAGTTGCGGCTGATGCGCAGGGAATGTACGAGAGCGTTATCCGGCCGCTGACCAGCCACGCCGTAAATCTCCGCTTTCTATCCAATATCTTTTCGAAATGATTTTAATTTAATTTATTACAATTTTTAATGAATATCGTTTAAAACTTTTAACAGCGTTTAAAACTTTCAAAGGTCCTTTAAAAGTTAACCTTTAAAAGTTACCTCTGAAAAAAGCGTTACAAAAAGTTCTTTAAGTTATCTCTACAGCTGTATACATCGTTCGTCGTTTTGTGTTTTAGACAATGTGAAAATCTGATGGCGTGAAAATCTGATGTGAACTGACTGCTTAAACACTAGCTGAAAGCCGTTAAAATTTCCTGCATGCCGTTGTTGTTCCGATTGAGAAATAGAAGTAGATGCTGCTGTTGGGAAACTTGTGTAGGGCAGAGGCATCGCAAGTCTAGTACATAAGCGGTTGTGAGCGTTTGCCGGCACTTCACATACAAAGTAATAGACAGAACTATGGATAATTTCTGTATAATTTTTGTTGTATTTTCCTGTTTGATTTGTTTGGGTTGCTTGTACTTCATTGTACATACCTACTTAAATATGAGCTATTTAGTTTTCCGCTCATCTACCCGAACAACAGGATTATAGTCTTAATGTTTTTTTCTAACAAGTAGTACGTGAGAAACTGCAGCGAGAAATAAAAAACAACAAAAAATAAATTTAATTTACGTTCCAAGAATTTACATTGTTTTCTTACGCTACTTTTTAAATAAATAAATTTTCCGGGAATTACCGATTTATCTACGTCTAAAGCAAAGGAGAGAAGACACCTGAAACGCACACAGTGATAATTAAATTTTGTAAATAAATAATAAATAATTTTGTAGACAGTATGGCAGATAAGTAAAATAAAAATAAAAATATTTTTGCTTTGTTATTAATTGCTCTATTTAATTTGTTTGTTTTGTTGCAGAGCATCCGGGATCCGGGCAGCCATGGTCGCCGGGAGACCTTCCGATGTCCGCAGTGCCCGACGGACTTCGCCAGTCCCTACTTCCTGCACTGCCACCTGCTCAAGGAGCACCACCACCCCCGCGGGGCCCCCGCCGAGCCGCCCCCACCCTACCGCTCCCCGGAGCCGGTCGTCCTCGATCTCTCCACCAAGTCCCACTCCCGTCCATCCCTACCGTCCACCCAACCGCCGCCCCTGCCGGACATTGTCTCCTCCTCCACCGGCCAAGCGAGCCTGACCACGCCCATCGATTTGGAGTCGTTCTGCGTGAAATGCAACCGGGAATATTGCAGTAAATATTTTCTGCGGACGCATCTGAAGAAAGTCCACAGTATGACGCAGGAGGACTATTTGGCTGAAGTTCAGACCGCCCGCCCCGAGGTGTGGCGGCAGTTTGTCAGCGGGGAGGTGCCGGGGGCACAGGAGGCCGGGAGCGGGGCGACGGCGTCACCGGGGGTGCGGCGGAATTGGTGTAAACACTGCAAGAAGGATTTCTGCAACAAGTACTTCTTCAAGACGCATATGATGAAGGTTGGTCGAATAACCTGTTTCTGCTGGAAAATTGTGACATAGTGTATTGCAGAAAATAATTATCGACAAATCCTCGCGGAACAAATTTAATAAAAAAATTGTAAAATTTAAAATCGATTATAAATTTACTTATTGCGAGCTAAATCAAACTTTAATGATAAAAAATTTATTCAAGAATTTATTATAATAAAATAAAAACAGTAAAGCAACGAAATGAATTTTATTTGGCGATGAAAGTTTAGTAATACTTTTTTTATTATGCACGCATGTAGAATTATCGTACGTTCATTAGTCACCGTGACCTTTGGACCGGAAGTGGTGGCTTTGATTCGAAGGGCGATTGTTGTCTTTTTTCTTAGTAATTATGTGTGTCATTGATGTTCCTGTTTCCAACGCCATAAATTTTTCGCAAAAATAAAAAATAAATCAAGTTCGTTAAGTAATAAAAATAATGATTTTTTATAGATGCACGGCGAAGAAGTGCACGAGCTGGTAACCAGCAGCCGCTCGGCCCGTCGGCGCTCGCAGAGCGTCTCCTGTGACGTCTGCCACAAGGACCTGTGCTCCAAGTACTTCCTGAAAATCCACAAGAAGAACGCTCACAATATCCACGATCCCAGTTTGTCCATGGGCGTCGGCACGGAGCTGGAAACCCCCGGCTCGCCGTCCCTGGGCGATGAGGACGCCGATCCGGAGATGGAGGAGGGCGAGGTGGACGAAAGCATGCCGCTGTCCATGGTTATGGACCTGGCCACGCCCCACGGCGACCACCACCGCGGGAGCGGCGCCGGGTCACCGCCCGTGACCTTTAAACGGGACGCCGGACGGGCCACCGTCATCACCTGTGTCGGGACGCATTTCGTGCCGCCACTGGATGGGGGCGGGGCTGAGGAGGAGGAGCCGATGATCAAGCAGGAAATAAACTGAATAACTGCATCGCGGTTTTAGCTTTCAGGTAAAACATTAAATACAATTATCTAGGATAAACTTGCAATCGATTGAAAATTTATTGACAAGTTTTGTTTTGCTATACTTATTTACAGTTTTTTTACTAAATTTATTTACAGTTGCCATTTAAAGCGGCCACCTTATACGTCTTCCGTATAATAATTTAACCTGGACAGTTGCTCAGTGGGACGAATGTCGTCCGGTATTCCATGACCGCCAATTTCTGCCGTATTTATTACTGGACCGATTAACAACTCGCCCGCAATATCACTGATGTACCGTGCCGAATTAATGGGCGACTTGCGCGTAATTAATTCTCAAATCCCTTCACTCATTCAACCAGCGATCTCCTTGCATGTAATCATTCCAGCTGGCCGATTCAATTCCCCTTTTCTACAATCTCTCTTTTTTTTCTCCATGACAATACTCATTAATTAGATTTTACTTTTGCGTTGAAGTAACGGTGGGTTGCTGGCCTCCGGCATCCGCGGAGAACTGCTCATGTTTTGATTTTGCAATGATTCCTATGAAAACATATTTGTATGTACGAGTACCTTGCTGCCTGTTGTATTGCTGTTTCAAATGATTTGCCTTGTAGCGGTTGTGCTGATATGAGGTTAGCGTTAATTAAAAATTGTGTGCTGTAATCAGTAATGCGGTTACGTTGTATAAATAACCTACGTAATATAACGATTAAATAATCGTTACTTCATTATTACGCTGAAATTACTCGTCTTTGAAACAAAAACAATATATTTGATGACACTTTATTTCTCAATATGTACAAGGCGAGCTTCCCTCAACAAATATCATCAAATGAAGAATTTGTCCCAATTAACATGGGAAGGGACCGTGCACAATACACTCACAGCATTACCACGATCTCCCAACTCCCACACTACTTGTTTTCTGAAACAAAAAACAAGTAGTGCGACTCTCACCGTCTTTAAAAGCAACTTCTTACCAATCTCCTTTAACGTAACAATACCGGTCTCACACCAAGTGCCAAAAGTCTCACATGCAAAGGGGACGAAATTACAACGATCAGTAAGCGACTTGTATTTTCCCATCTTCTGCCGGAAAGCCAGTTCGGCGGCAGCGCCAGCGCACTTTGAGGTCGTGTCGATGTATGAATGAATATTTTATATTTGTATAGCGATAAAACCTTTCAATACGTCAGAATTTTGGTTGAAAACTCAACATAAGCTTCTTACGGTACAAACTTCTTCGACACTGACTACTCCGGATCCATTTCTTCCGTCACCAGGACACAACAATCTGAACACAACAAGCGAGTCCACCGCGTGCTGCTCACTAAAAGTAAATTTGGCGGTTATGCTAAGCTACCTCGCGGTAGATGACACGGTACTGCTTCAGGGACTGCCCGACTTAACGCGCATCTTCACGGCGTACATATCCGGTATCCTGGGCATCTCAACCGGTAGCGGCTTCCCGGGGGTGGGCATGCGCTGCAACGACCACCATCCGTCACTATCCTCTACTCTGCTCCACAAAATCAACCAAACACCTTCTAAGCAGACAATTCCAGTTGGTGCACGGCAGCGCCCTCGTCATTGCGGATAGCGCACTCATATTTCTTCAGGTCGGCCTCTCCCACTTGGCGCACCGTCATTGTGGTGGTCAAGGTGGAGCCATTGGGCGTCCGTTTCGATGGCGTGCCGCCCGTCCGCTCCCACTTGCAGTTAATGATTTTGCAACAACTGTAGCTAAACTCCTTTAATGGAGGTTTTAGTAGGCTCGTTACCTTAGAGAAGTTCAACATGATGAATCGTCGGATTCTTCTGGTTTGCCCCTCCTGCGTATGTATTGTTCTTTAAATGCCCATAGCGATTTTGACTCTCTTTCGCTTTCGTTTCATTTAGAAGCACTGAGACGTGTGACATGTCAGTGCCCAAGTTTTCGCTAACAACGTAGCAGTATGGTGTCCACTACGGACATTACCATTACAGAGTGAGCAAAGTTTTCTTCATTTCCAGTAGTAAAACAACTGCTTTCTCTGCACAATGAGCACAACCGAACACAGACCATTTCTGGTGTCAGCAAACTTGGGTAATTTTTCACTCGACTCGGAGCGTGTTTTTTCTTTAGCTGTGAACGTAATTGGACTAATTGCGTTTATGGTTAAAAGCAGCGACCGGTGTGGTTGTCAATAAATGTTCACAACAATTATGTGTTATCAATTAACAACCGAACCATTATACCATTCTATAATGCAGATTCAGGGTCAGTTACAAATGACATTCGGTTTAAGCAAATGAATTTTCCACACTTGCGGACTCCACATTCCACGGTCCGCGCCAGGGTTCATCTTGTAGACACTCCCCTTGCCTCGATCCTTGGTGAGATAGGAATTTCTGGATAGCCACTGTCGGTACGAAGCAAAACGCGGATCGCAGCGCTGCTTCTTGATCTCATCCGCATTGGCCAAGTGCTCCGGCGTTAAAACTCGCAGATCCACCAAATCAGAGAAACTACCGACCTCCACCGACTGTATGACACACTGCCGGAATATGATTTCGCGCAGTTTGAGCGAGGTGCTGAAGTCCAGCTTGTGGATAACAAGACCGTCTGCGCAAAAGGCTGTAGCAAAGCTGATCATGTTGGTTAGCGCCATTCCGCGGACTTTACCCGTCATTCGCGTAGTGTGGCAGTTGCGGAGATAGAGCTTGATCACTTGCATGCGTATCGGCTGCAGCGTTTGATCGTTCACGTGTCGCGAGTCCTGCAGAGAAAGTACGGCCAGACGCGCCGGCGGTCGGGACATGCGCCGGAATAGGTTCAGCAGTTCAGCCTGGCTGACCACGTCGTAACAGTGGATGTGATAGTAGCGTTTGCTGCCACAAAGGAGGTTCGACGGGTCCCATGAGGAATTGTAACAGTGGGCTGAGTACTGCCGTTGACACTGTTCCTTTGTGAATGGCTCGTCAGGCATGTTCGGGAGCGGATAGACAAACGGCGGATCAGCCAACGATTCGTTAACGGAAACGCCTGCAAGAGGAAGCCAAGTGTTCAGATTACCGGAAGCTGATGTGACCAGCCGCACAGCCCCATGCGAGTTATATTAAGATACAGCCTGGCGTAAACAAAATCATTAGCCACAAAGAGAACTAAGAGAATATCATTTAGTTCTATATTTGGGCACAGGTTGATAAGACCTGAATTGACAGATTTCCAGTCTTCTCTGTATCTCTTGTTATGTCGTTTTAATGTTCTGATTGAGTGATCTAATACTTTGAAAGTTTCCAGAAATTGTATCATGTGAGTATTAAAGCGGATAAATGTCGTCTGAGCGGTTCGCCATGTTGTTGATAAGCTTACCATGAGGGCAGCATTTCTGCGCATAACCTTAATCAGAAGCTAGTCAAGCGGTTTCTAAATCCGAGTTTGTTTTGGTTTTCTTTCGTTAAGTACGGGGCGTTCCTAATTAAATTAGACCTGCAAACTGGCCGCACAGTTTAACCGGTGTTTCTCGATTCTCAAACATGGGATTTTCGGCGGCATAACAGAAGTCGAACAATTTGTAGGAATTTAAGAAAACGATTCCCAAAAAGACCCCAGTGGTGCGAGAACACTATAGGCAGATTTCATAAAGCCCTTTCCTTACCTTTGCTCTCTGCATTTTTGATAGAGCTAGTGTCAGTGGTACCGCCACTAATGTCTTGGCGAACTGGCGTCGTTAAATGACCTGGCACAACTGCACGTTCCGTTCTGGAACAATTGTAAGCAGCTTGCAGCTTGGCCACATCCAGTGGAGTGAGGCTTATTTGTTGGCCCATCCATCGGGGCGCCGGGATGACTTTGGAGACGATGGCCGGTTTGTCGGGGCTCTTGGATAAAGATTTGGGGCCGTAATGCATCAGCGACTCCACGTCATATGGTAAGCCAAAGGTGTCCATTTCAGGCAGTTTTTGATAGTTGATTTCATGAACTCCCGATACCATATTACCGGGAATTATGCTGATGTGCTCGTCGCGATCCGGGCGACTGTGTTCGTGGAGGAATCCTAGCGCGTGCATGATCTCGTGCTGGATAATGCCGGGTGACAAGCAGCGGGAATGCAGTTTGACTCTGGTTGGACGACCAGTAATACGACCAATATCCGCTTTGCATCTGTGCAAAACAATGGCTTCTACCTGATCTTCAGAAAGGTCAGAGAACGAGAAAAACATTACATCGGCACAAGTCCCGTGTGGTGTTGTATCAGAATGTACTCATTCTGGGTAGCAGTGCGTTTCCTGAATGTTACGCAGCCGTTAGACCTCCATTCTAAAGTTTGCACTGCACCTTCAATAGTCGTTCTTTGCTCGTCGTCTAAAAATTAGCAGAAGAACAACAATAAACCGATTAATGATAATTTTTATAAATTCATAATTGCTCTCTATTGCAGTAAAAAGTGCTGCAATTGTGAGCTGCTGGTTTGATCAAGAATACGTTTTCGGAGAGGGCTTGTTGGACAAAACTTTTCTTAGCAGGGCACATTTTCCGGGTCCAAAACCAGAATCTCATCTTTTGTAGAAGCATGGCATACCTTCGTAGTATAATTAAAAAATAAATTCAGCTGCATAGGCTTAAAGGTCATGGCCAAACGAAATTAATCAGTGCGTACTGCGTAGTACTGCCCTTTGACCCTCTGCAGATGAAATAATTTTTTAATTATACTACGAGGGTGTACCATGTTTCTGCAAAAGATGAGATTTTTCTAATTTTGAAGCCGGAAAATGTGCCAAGGTTAGTAAATAGTCATTATTCTACTGACAATTATATTATTAAGAAATTACTGACAATAAGTGAGTAAGTCTCCAGACTGCGTACGTCGCGTAGACCTGATAGCATAATAAGCATATTATGCTGATTTAACAAGTCGCAAGCTCACTGAATCCTGTCAGTTCATAAGGAATCTGTTGTCCGTCGTTGGGCCAGTAGCCGCTGGGTGACAGATAGCCCGTTGCCGGAACGAAGCGATCATATCCGGTGCCGTCGTCCTCGTCCTCCCAGGCGATATCGTTTCGCAGTAGATGCTTGTCATCTGTATCATAGAACGATCGAGAAATTTTAGATCGAGGTGTGGTGCATCTGCCGCAAATACAGTAAATCAAAGATGCTTAACCTATCGGAGACGGTAATGTTCCTACAATCCACAACATCCATGAAATAACTGCAGTAAGCACGAAATGCATCTTTGTTGCAGCGATGAAAAGGCTGCCTATCCAAGGAATTTTCGAGCAGGTGCTCTGGACCCTCCAGCGTAAGTGTAAGGGAAAAAGCCGACGAAAGTTTGGCAGAGAGCTTAGCCGATGTTTATTCTAAGTAATTAAATTCGCAGTGCAGTGAACGTGCAACTGATTCAGTGCTATCGTGCTACGTATGTAATTTTGCAGTTCCGCTGCATGGGAGCCAACAGTGTAGAAGCGATGTAATCAACAACCGCGAAGCCGTGAACTCGATTTTATCGGACACATGGGAATTGCCTATACCTTTTACGCCCCCTTCGAACTTTCGACCTTTGCCTTTGCAAACCGTTTCGGTGCAGCAGCCGTATAGGTAAATTATGAAACTGCTATTTTTAACAACAATCTCTCAACCAAGCTTTGTTCGCTTGGTCGAATAAGCGTAATCACGAACGTCCGTTACATTACTTAGAACTAGTTACTGCTGAGGCAGCTTGTTGTCAACATCGCACACTCAGGCAGTACTATCTCCTACATGTGATACGTGTGATAACATACGTATAAATTAGGTGTAATAACCTCTCTTGTTGCAGACCGTGTTTACGGTTAACCAGAACTAAGGACCAATTCCAATAATTTTCTGAAATACTTATACCCGCGTAACGCAAACTGCAATCTGACTTTGCTCAGAACGTTTAGAGAAATTACGTGTAACGACGGCCCACGCCCCGCTCGATCTTCTATGTAACTGCTCTGCCGAAACAGTTCACACTGTAGATAGTTCAAATATGAACTTCCAAACTTAATAAAAAATAGTTACTAGAAAATGTTGGCACCCCTGGAAAGTGCCTGACGATTTAATAAGCTGAATCGGGAACAACCTTTATGCATTTTAAGCAGTAACTTAAGGCACCTTGCGCTGGCAATGTATGCTTTTTTTACTTTGCTGTTAACTTCTCTTACCACCGACATAGTCGGTGGGAAAATGGACGATCACAGTGGATAATTTTGCGAGAGCCTAGCCGCTGTTCTCAACGTTGTCTTGGAGGGAAAAGTGCCAGCTGATATCCGTCCTGCTTTCTTCGGTGGAAAGCTGCTGGCCTTGCGGAAGAAGGACGGCGGGCTGCGCCCCATTGCGGTCGGAATGACATTGCGCCGTGTCATTGCCAAAATTGTTTGCAGTAAAGTAGCGGAGCGGGCAGTTGCTGTTCTTTCTCCTGGACAAGTTGGCTTTAACGTACGTGGTGGGGCTGAAGCAATAGTACACGGAACCAGACAATTTATCAACGAGAATCGCGAAATTACAAAAGCCATCGTAAGTGGATTTCCGTAATGCGTTCAATACAGTTTCGCGAGAAGTAGTGCTCGACGCTGTGAAATCGCACTTCCCGGAATATTTCGCCTTTTTCCAGTCAACTTACGGACATCATTCTTCACTGTTCATCGGTGAACATGTTATGTCATCCGAATCTGGAGTGCAACAGGGTGATCCGTTGGGCCCGCTATTGTTCTGTCTAGCATTGCAAGCCGTAATTCTCACCCTTAATACCGAGTTGAACGATTGGTACCTTGACGACGGGACGCTTGGCGGTCTCCCAGAAAGTGTACAGGAGAATTTTGCTCGAGTTATTGAAGGTGCTCGGAGAATTGGATTGGAAATAAACGTCACAAAGTGTGAACTATACGTTTCTGGCGGGTCGGAGACAGCTCAGCAGAAAGCAGTAGATGATTTTCTTGCCCAACACCCCGGTGTCCGTGTAATGTCCAGCTCCAGTCTGACTTTGCTTGGAGCTCCCGTCTTGGACGCCGCGATCGCCCCCCTGTTTGCCGAGAAAGCGCAATCGTTGGCCACGGTGTGTGAGCGGATGCAGCTGCTCCCACGTCACCACGCGCTTTTCCTTCTACGCCACTGCCTCGGGGCACCAAAGATCGTATACATGCTGAGATGTAGTAATGCCTGGAAATACTCAGAGCAACTGTATAAAATCGACGAAGTCTTGCGTTCCTGCTTCCAACAGTTGTGCAACGTCCGGACCAATCACGATGATTATCCCAGCTGGCGACAGGCGAGCCTCCCGGTTAGCAGAGGCGGTATTGGCTTACGTCGCTAGGAGGAATTAGCACTCCCAGCCTTTCTGGCTTCGATTCACTCCGTTGCCGACCTGGTGTCTCTACTACTCCCCAATCGACCGGCCGTCGATGTCTCTACAGCGCTGGAAATTTGGAAAACCAATGCCCGGTTGACAGAACTGCCTTCACCAGATTTCCGAAAGTCACAGAAAGCATGGGACCTCCCGTTGTGTAACGTGTCTTTCGCTACATTATTAGAAGTATTCCGCGACGATGAGGTTAACAAGGCGCGTCTACTCGCTCAGTCGAGACCGGAAGCCGGTATTTGGCTTAATGCATTGCCGTCGGCCCATATCGGCAATCTGCTCGACGATGACACGCTAAAAATCTCCGTCGGGCTCAGACTCGGCCCTAAGATCTGCGAACCGCACAACTGTGCGAAGTGTTACAAGCCTGTCGACTGCTACGCCCATCACGGTCTATCGTGTTCTTTTTCCGCCGGCAGGCATCCACGGCATGGTGCTTTTAACAGTGTCGTATGCCGCGCATTCGTATCAGCCGGGATCCCTGCAAAACTGGAGCCTCGCGGCACTTCTAACACAAGTAGCAGACGTCCAGATGGATGCACAACATTTGCATGGCAGAAGGGCATGTGTCTAGCATGGGATGTTACGTTTGTTGATACGGTCGCCGCTTCCCACATCAAGTCTACATCGGCAAACGCGGGATCGGCCGCCGTTCAGGCAGAGGAAAGGAAGACCAGTTTATACTCTTATTTGGTCGGTCGTTACATTTTCGCGCCCATCGCTTTTGAGACAATGGGCCCTTGGGGACCGTCGGCCATTGCCATCATCAAAGAACTGGGAAAGCGTTTACGGACCCATTCAGGAGAAGTCCGCTCTCACGAATTTCTTCGGCAGCGACTGTCTATTGAGATACAGCGCGGCAACGCCACCTCTGTTTTGGGCACCGCAGAGAGAGCGGATATGTTTACTGAGCTCTTGTTTGTTTAACTGTTTCTTAAACCATGTACTCGTTTGGTTTGAATTAAAACTGCAGAAGTTATAAAAAAAAAACTTCTGTTTAACGGCGTACTTTGTATTCACTTTTTACTTAATCATTATAATATAAAAATGACTTACTAAGACTGTTCTTACTAAAACCAATAATACCGTATCGTGTGTGAGCCATGGCTGCACTCACGTACACCCTCACGCCTGTGGCGCTACGCGGATGACGTGTCTGTGTTGTGTCTCTTCTGATTGGTCGTATGTGCCTTGTGTGGGCGCGCCTATGTGCGCTGCGATGAGCATGGATTTGGCTCTTCGCTTGGCAGATTTGCCAGAGTGGATTCAGTTGTTCAGTCAGTCGATTTGCACACTCAATAAAGTGTACCTATGCTAGTGGATGTCGTGCGTTGAGCATTTATCCAGGTTTCATAGCATATTACGCTACGCAGGATCCTGTCAGTGGGGGGGGGATCTCTGTCCTGGACTCATTCTGAGTTCCACATTATATGGTAGCAGAGCCGTGAACAGACGGTTCTGAATCGAATTGTTTATCCGTTTGGCGAACGGCCATAATTATCTGTTTGGCGAACGGCCACGTGGATCTGGATCGATCGACATTGATCGACTGCACCAGTAAGGCACTGGTTTTTCTCATCTGACAGCAAGGCGCATTCAACCGGATTGCCAGCAGGAGCGGCAGCACTGAGTCAAGTATCTCCTGTGGAGAACTTGTCCCGTGTTTTCATCGAGTCAGACGGCAGCTGGCCGCGGTGCAGGTCTCTCCTGTGGAGAACTTGTGCTGTTTCCACTGTTAAGCAGCGAGATCCTCTGTAGAGGACGAGGCTGCTGGGCACAGGCGCCGAGAAGCCACGAAAGTTGGCAGCACCGAAGGAGGTGCCAAAGAGATCTGTTTACGCGCTCCACCAAATTGGCTGTAGAGCGACCTGCTGGTAGGCCTGACAAGCCCAGCAGAAGGCAGACTAGGTCGGATTAGGAAGGCGCCAAAACCGTGCGGAATACGGCTGCGCGGGATCGCATCGTGGAAGAAGAAACGCGATCATCTGGATTATTTTGGCGGAAATCGGATCGGTAATCAGGTAAAATACCATTATTAATCATCGGATTGGTTAGCGCGTAAAAAGCGCAATTCTCATTGGTCCTGACTGAGCTGAGACAGACGTAGGCAGAACTTTTGCACTCGGCGCGCAAGTCTGGCCGTCGATCTGTGACGTCACGTAGGTCAGAAAACTTAGTGGGTTCACGTGATTGGTCAATTATATGAGCTGTGATTGGTCGAAATTTTTACCGGTAAAACTGAGCTAAATGATCTCGTAATGAGCTAATAAGCATCATAATTGATCTTTTCTCAGCATAATTGATCTGATATGAGCTAGTAGGAGCTGTTTTTGACAAAAATAAGTTGAGGAAAAGTTGACCAACCGAACCTGAGATCGATCTTCGACCTTGAGCTGAGCTGGTAACGACCTCTACAGATGAGCTGAGATGATCTAATCTGATCTTTCATATGATCTTTTTCATCGAAAACGAGCTAATCTCAGTTAAATCGAGCTGATTTTAATCGAAAAGAGCTGAGTAAAAGGTGATCTGAGCTGAGCTGAAATCGATCAGCTGACCTGAGAACGATCTCGAAACAAACTTTTAGCAGCTCAGTTGATACCCGTAGCTGATTATAAGCATCTCCGAAGAGAGCTTATCGAACTTTTTATTGAAAAAGCGATCTCCTAAACCGAACTTGAGCTCATCTCCCGAGCTGAAAGGTGATCTATAATGATCATAACGATCATACTATAACGTGTGTCTGAGCAAAACTGACAGGTGCGTCCAGTTATCCGATCAACTATGGATAAAGACAACGTGGAACCGAAGTCTAACAGCAGTCAGGGAAGCCGAGGCTCCCGCGGATCACAGCAAGGCGCACCTGATCCGTATAAGAAGGATCTCAAACCTCTCACACGACCAGTTGAACATGAGCGGAATACACGGGCACCTAAAGCCTTCGTGAGGAAGGACTCACGAGGCTCTGATAGCACCTATCAGAAGGCACTCGAAGCAGTGTCAGCCCAAGAGAGCTCCAGTGATGAGCGGCAACGATCTCCCGCACCAGCGGCGGGAAGCAGCGAGGTGAACCAGCAGGTCACCAAAGAAGGAACGAGCTCACAACGAGCTAAGGAGATGGATGCAGCGGCACAGAAAGATGCCACAATCGAACCTGCCACATCGGAGCAGGACAAGGAAGTGAACCTGGTTAAACCGGACCTCATCGATCAATCAAAAGCCACTCACGCAGACCTCAACGAGATGAGATTAGATGATCTCTCGTTGCAGGATGAGATCACAGATGAGGATCCATTTGAAACCCCATTGCATCCGACGAGATGATTAGGACACAGAAGTCAAATCGCTTGAACGAATCATACTTCACAGATGATGAAGAGACATTAAACATGTCTTTCCAAACCGCAATGAAGGAAGCTGATCGAGCTGAAGGGATGACATTGTTCAGTGATATACCTGAACACCTCATCGAACGAAATTAGACAGGGAAGATCATCAATGTCCGATCTCCATCTCCAAACAGCCACACTTCAAACCTGAAAAAACAGATCAGACAACTGGAATCTTCCCTGGAAGACAAAGAATGCCAACTCCTACAGAAGAAGCAGGAATACCAGAAGAGGATAAGCTCACTCGAAACTCATGTATATGAGATGAAGCAACAGCAGGGCATTCTGGAAAATGCAGCGACCGAATGGAAAATCAGATATGAACGTCAAAAGGAGATCGCCGAAGAAGCTCAGAAGATCGCTGACGACAAAGAAGTCGAAAAGTTCATCGCGGTTGACGAGCTCAACGAGAGCATGTCAGAAGAATCGGCTGAAAGATCACGTCACTTAGCGGAATTAAAAGATCAGTGTGACGAGCTTCGCAAGAAGGCGAACGAAGCTGAACTGAAACGAAACGAATATGCATCCAAGCTCGCCGAAGCGACACAGAAGCTGGCCACAATGGCAACGGAGATGCTGAAGCTCAGGAATGATCTGAAGCTGAAGGAGGAGAATATCGGCATCCTCCAAAAGGAGTCCCAAGCTCATCAGAAACGAGCTGATGAAGCACTTCAAGTAGCGAAGGAGCTCACAGAGCTCGGTGCAACTGAAGGAGAACGACTTAAGAAAGGAATTAAAGAAGTCAATGAGGAGAACGAAAAGCTCACACAGGAGAGTCAAAAGTGGCAGGCTCAAGCATACCGGCTGGACACAATGGTCACAGCTCTCGAGATAGCTGACAAGAAAACCAACGAAAGGTTCATGAGCAGCTCGAGGAGAACATCAGGCTCAATACGGAGCTGACTGCGATGGCAACGACAGCAATGCTGAGAGAAGATGAAGCCATCGGCCTGAGAAACCAGCTGAGATCAGCAGCTGAGGAATATACTCGGATGGAAGGCGAGGTGACTCAGCTGGCCACAATGATTAAAAAGATGGAAAGTGATACTGAAAAGATCGTTCAGGAAAAGACATTCCAACTTCACCATCATATGATGAAAGTAAATCTGGAAAACTCAGACCTCAAAAGAGAAAAGGAGGAGTTCCAGTTGAGAATCAAACGACTCGAAGATGAAAATAAAGGTCTCCAAATGACGAATAAACATAAGGATGAACAGCTCCTACAGTTCGGTGTGAAGAAAACTACCGACGAATCTCCCCCGCCCAGTTATAACAAGGCACAGGAAAAAGGAACTGGCGGGAGCGCTCACTTCGAAATGCCGCTACGAACGGGTGGCGGCAGAGGCGATCCTAAAATCGAAAAAGATGATGAAGCCTCTGATAAACGGAACCCGTCGGGTAGTCACCAGCCATTTATGAGCTCCGGTGACCCATCGCAGTCCCAACAGCCAACCGAAACAGCAATTAAGGATGACGGAAATCGGGATCCACGTTCCCCCCGACATGAACATGATGGGAGATACTTCCGGGAATATCGCAACGAACGAAACGACAGAAATGAGCGAGACGAGAATCGTGCCCAAAGAGAGTTCAACCGCTCCATTAAAAACATGGGCCGAAAAACCGACCTCGCGACCTTCGACGGCAACCGCGATGCGGTGAACGGATGGATCCGGTTGGTAAAAGAAACCCAACGGACATATGAACTGACCGACGAACATATCTTAATCGACATGGCCAGCGCCGTCAGAGGACCAGCAAAGATCTGGTTTGATGGTGAACGGGACATCGAAGAAGCCGAAGAGGAGGTCTATACAGTCACCGAATGGCTTAACAAATTTAGAGATGAATACGGTGATCGGAATGAAGAAGTCCTCGGCCTACGCGAAGCCATGGCCAGGAAATTTAAACCTGGAAAAGAAACACTGGAACAATTTTATCAGGCGATCATGTAGTTCAAAGCGAAGGCCATTACCGAGCTACAGGCAGTTGCATTCTTGATCGATGGATGCAGAGTTGATAAGGACCTTTATCAGGCGCTGAAAACGAAGGGGTTCAAAACGCCAACGGAAATCATGGACTTCTTCAGATCATGGGCCGCTGGGGAAGACAAGTACAAGGTGACCGAAGGTCAGCGAAACCAACCGGATAGCGTCACTATCCGCTCGGGCCAAGTTGAGATGGCACCGAGACAATACGCAGCTGCACCAGCTCAACAGGCTGAATATCGGCCGAGGTCTCCAGCTCCGGTCCAGAACCAAGTGACTTTCATCGACAGCCAGACTGGACAACCGATCACGTATGTTATGGTCGCTGCGATACAAGCGCAGGCACAGGCCAGACCAGTGGCACCGGCTAATGTGATGCCGAACCCCCTGAACGTAGGGGTGCCACCTCAACAAGGAAGGCCCAACAATGGAAATCAATATGGAAACGGGAATAATAACTGGAACAACGGCCAAGGCAATGGAAATGCCAACTGGAACAATGGCCAGGGAAATGGCAACTTTAATCAAAATCGGAATCAAGGGAATTACCAGCAGAACCGTGGCAACTATCAGCCTCAGCAGGGTTCCCGAACTGAATGGAAATTCGGCCAAATCGACGGATGGGTTACCCAGGGCGTGCAGCTGTGCTAAAACTGTGGATTCGGCAACCACGACGCACAGAACTGCATGTTCGCCAACATGTCACCAAACCGAAACCCGAACCTGTTCGCCACCCAAGAGTGGGAACGACTCCGCACCCAAGGCGGCTGGCGACAGGCAGTAGCGAACGGCTACGACCTGGTTGCAGCTTGGCGCCAGTTCAAGCCGCAGAACGGCGGCAACCAAGGAGGTGGCCAGGGTGGCGGCTATAACGGCGGCGGTAGAGGAGGCTTCCGCGGGCGAGGTCGCGGCAACGGACGCGGCGGATACGGCAACCGAAACGGAGGTGGCTGGCGCGCCAACAATAACGGTGGCGGCGGCGCCCAAAACAACGGTGGGTGCGGCGCGAACGGCGCTGGCCAGGGGCAGCAAAACGAGCAAGCCCCGCAGCAGAACATGAACCAGGGAAACGGCCAAGATCAGTAGCCGCCGGTGAGCCTACTGATCCTCCCGAACCAAAACCACCGGATAAAGGAGGAACGCAGAATCGGACTGCGAAAGAGATGGCTCAAAAGATGCCATCACAAGTGGGCAAAGGACCACCACTGCAGAATCGGACTGCAGATGACACGGCTTATAAGATGCCATCACAAGTGGGCAAAGGACCACCACTGCAGAATCGGACTGCAGATGACATGGCTTATAAGATGCCATCACAAGTGGGCAAAGGACCACTGCCGCAGAATAGTACTGCGAAGTCACCGCAGAATCAGACTGCAGGTGAGATGGCTCAAAAGATGCCATCACAGGTGGGCAAAGGACCACTGCCGCAGAATAGTACTGCGAGCAACCAGGTGAACAATAAGGCGAGATCACCTTACTGCAGCGAAGAGAAGCTGAAAGAACGACGTGCTCAGCGTAACGAGATCATCCGAAAAGCGAATTTGAAAAAGAAAGCAGAGGAAGAGAAGGAGACGGACGATCAACACGCCAGGTTCCGAGAGTTCCTGCGTAGCCAAAAAAGGTACATCCCACCACCTCCCACACCAGTGCGAGATCATGGAGCAAGTGAAGCCGCTAAAAACAACGACAAAGAGGTCGTCTCAACCGGTCAGACAAAGGAGCTGACGTTGCGAAACGTGCAGCTTAACGAAAGCGAACAAGCACAACAGGTCTCCGATGACTCGCTGGATGATGCAAACGCATTGCAAGAAAAGCACATGTGGCAAAAGGTGGCATATCGACCCAACGGAAATCATGGGATGTGGATACCGGTTACGCCGAAAGCGAAACTGAAAGGACAAATGTCGCAAGAAGATTACTGGCACATCAAACAAATACAAACGGACGCTGCGAGGATACAACTCGAGGAGTTGGTTACCGGGAAACCAGCTCCAGGGTCAAAGAACCCAGTCCCAGTGTGTAAGAAGACACCTGCTGACTTATCCAAACCGACAAATGCCCCACCAGAAGGCAAACCGCTGAATTACGGAGAAAAAGTTCCGTTACAAAGGTTGCAAAACGGCGGATTTACCATAAAAAGGGTGGAAAAGTCACCTGATCTGTCACAAGCGCTGCAGAAAGATGCCAATGATAAATCACCAGCCAGAACAGATGGGATGTCCTCACAAATTGACCCAACTCGAACGAATAACGAGTGGGCAAAGAAGATAACCGACTGGATGAAGGACAACGAGCATAAGATGATCATCTATGAGAGATCACCAGAAGAACTGCGAGATAGCGAGGAAGATGAGCTGACACTGGCTGAGCAGATTACAATGGAGGTCATCGACAAGCTGCGTGATAAACCGAAAGATGACGTAAAAGGAACCAAGTTGTATCAGACCATCACTGAGGTAACAAAAAGGCACATAGAAGTTGCGAAGGGGCAACTAAACGAGGTCAAAGAGACCACCAGTGATGTAAAAACTGCATCGAAAAATGAATGTGAGGAGTTAAAAAGCTCAAAGGAGATGAAGAAAAGAGAATTCTACGATGTCCGAACTGAGGTGCCACATCGTATCGATCATCTGAGCTCGATACTAAAAAAGAAAAGCACTTATGCGAACGGGCAGGTGCTTTCTTCAACGGTCAATATGGATCCGAGACCAGTATCACTAATACCAGTCAAATGTACGGTCCGGAAGTTAAAAGTTCAGAACGGAAGCTTGCCGAAAAGGATCGAGGCCTACACACATGAGGTCAAAATCGGAGACAAAAAGGTCATAGCGATGCTGGATACTGGAGCTGAGACATCGCTGATCAGTAAACCGTTCTGTGAGAAAAATGGACTTCATATCCTACCGCTGCCACCAGATAGGTTGGTGAAGATAAATGGAATCAGCGGCACATCGGGATTTGTCGTCACACATTATTGCGTGGCACCTGTAACGTTGAGAAAACGAACTACGGAACACTCCTTCTACGTGCGGCCGAAGACGGACGACGTACAAGTCCTATTGGGACATGACTTCCTGGCGACAAAGTTCGTCCTGATCGATAATCATGGAGAGGAGGAAGTCGAGGATGACCCGAAGTCAAGTGCCAAAGTTCAAGCCGGAAAAGTTGCTGAACTTGTAATGGAAGCTGCGAAAGCTAAATCGGAGCAAAGGGCTATCCCAGTACCAGAGGCACTGGGATCAAAAGAGATGAACATAAAAAGGGGAGGTTCATCCGCCCAGCTGTCGATAATCGAACGGATGACAGCTGTCCAACAGGAGATCACCACCAAGTTGGGGAGATCATCAGCTAAACCGATAAACCGGGCAAACGTCGTTATCCCAGTACCAGAGGCACGGGAAACGACGACAGATGATCAAAAAGGAGCTGGTCAAGGAGCTATCCCAGTACCAGAGGCACTGGGAACACAAGATGAAACTCCTTTGACGCTGGAGCAAATCGCAGCTACACAAAAGGAAGCAGCAATTGGAGCAAAACGAGCTCTCGTACCCGGCATGGAATGGACGAAGTTATCCCAGTACCAGAGGCACTGGGAATAAAAGCTGTCAAAGTTTGGAACGATAAGAAGTTCGAAAAAGTACGAGAAGTTCCGAAAAAGACGACGGAAGCTGAACAGATACTCACAAGTGAGATCCGAGATAAAGCGATCCAACAGCTGAAAAATCATTAGGACGAAAAGGAACTGGAGATCATCGAAATCTCACCTGACGAGCTCAACGTGAAACCGAGATATGGTGGCTGGCTAAACGCAGATAACGACAGCACCAACCCGTTTGCTTGCCTCAACTACATGACACTGGAAGAACGTATTAGCAGTTGTCATCACGGGTACAATGAGGATCCGTGCAGAGTGCAACCTCAACAGGAATGTAAAGAATGCTCACTAGAAGCTCATCAAGATGATCTCTCTGAATGGCCAAAGTGCAACGCGGCAATCGAAGACATGAAAGGGCATGTCCAAAAGGAAGTGAAAAGTATAAGTCGGACAAATCCGATGTGGAATCAGCACATTGAGCGATACCATTGGCAACGATACAAAGAATGGCTATCATGCGTCCGAAACTTCATCGAAACAAGAGGGAAATGGATACGTCACTGGGAAGATTGTTCCGACCAGCAGCAGCTGGACTCCCCAGAGACTAAACGATATCAAGCAAAGTTTTACAGAGAGATTCATGAGATATTTGATGAAGGAAAAATGTGGGAGGACGTGAGATGTGAGCTGTTCTGGGACTTCCGCACCAACCGCTTGTACAAGGATAAAGGAAAAACGATTATATTCCCCACCGGACTTGGCGAACCGGTGTATGAGCTATTTGAAAAGTTTCATAATGCACTGGTGAAGAGAGATGAGGGATCCTTCGACAAATACTGGAAAAAGTTGGAAGCAGAGTTCCCACCCCCACCAGATAACGACATACTCGAGCTCAAAGTATACAGGAAACGAAGAGAAATCGGAGCAACTGGTCTTCCACAGAAGAAGATCACATTTGCACCAGCTAAAGATGAAGCTGATTTCCCACAACGTGGACATGAAAAATGGTGCATCTACGAGATGACTCCGAATAACGAGCTGCTCACCGATGACTTGAAGGCGAACTGTGTCTTCATTGGGACTAGAGACCCATCGGATATGAGGAAACCGCCGACGCAGAGGCGGAGGTGATCGAAGTCGAGGAAGACAGATCGCAAACAGCATTTGAAATCGCACAAATGATAACGGAAAGAGGAAAGATGTGGGAAAAGTTCAACGAGGAGCTCCAAAAGATCTCTGAAGGACATCAAGACCCAGTAACAAAGGCAAAAGAGGACGAAAACGAACTCGATAACGGTGAGGAAGGTCCACCGATCGAGAAAAGTCGATTAATGAGCCTTGAGGAGATCGATGAGCTGGAAGGAGCAGCTCCGGACGATGAGAAGCCCACCTCAGATGATCGGAGATCATCAGTGAAAATACGTGTAACGCGCAGTCATCCGAGAATCGCAGCTAAATATGGAAGAAAAACGAAGGAAACGGGCAAACCTCTGCCCAAAAATGTGACAATGAAAAAAACTTAGCGATTTACGAGGCGACGAAGACGAAGTCTCATCTGGAAAAGGAGCTGATGAGCGACCACTTGAACATAGAGCTGCAAAAGATGATGAGAGCAGCAACTCAGATTCAGATTGGACGAGTTCAAGTGACAATTCAACGACTTCAGAAGATTCGGAAGTAAACGATCTCTCAGACCAGGAGGACCTGCTCGATCTCGATGAAGATGACGAGGTCGATGAAGGAAAGGAGCAGGAGATCAAAGTGCGAAGAACGAAGGTTCAACGGATGAGATTAAACCGAGAGACCATCAGAGTCTACAGTGATCAACGGATCTTCCTGAAACCATCTGTCTGCACACGTGTCAAGGTTAAGATGGCACGATTCGTACCTGCTAACGAAAAGCTGATGTTCACACCTGTCTTCCAAGTGGAAACCGATGTTCAACCGTTAGCCGGAGTAACAGATCATAAAGGAAAGCACTTTGATCTGGTCATCGCCAACCACAGTATTAAGCGGCAAGTGGTGAAAAAGGGGCAGTTCCTTGGATATGTGGAGCCATACGATCACATGGAGAACGTCCAGATCAATAGTGGCACAGTAAGGAACGTGCTCTCAGATCCAACAGTTGATGACGTAACGAAGGCTGAACTGACAAAGATCATTGGTATCTTAAAACTCGGACCGGACCTGACACAGGAACAGAAGAATGATGTGTATAACGCATTCTGGGAGTTCTGGAAGGTGCTTCCCACATCAAAGAAACCGTATGGAGATGTCAAAGGGATCACCCACGTGATTGATACGGGAGATGCGAAACCGGTAAAGTGCAATCTCGCCAGAACCAGCTGGACAGGTCGCGAGTTCATAACGAAACACATCGAAGAGATGCTTGCGCAGGACGTCATCGAGCCATCAGATGCCGACTGGAGTTTCCCGGTCGTGCTGGCAGCTAAAAAGAACGGTGACGGAACAATGGGAACCAGATTCT